CGGCGCTGGGGGGGTTGTCCCAACGGCTGCAACCACCAAAGCCACTACGTTCGCCGCGACGACCTCGAGTCCCTGCGACAGACGGATGAGAAGGCGGCCGCGGCCGCCAGCTTTGTCTGCAAGCCGCACTCGCAGACCCACTCGCAGACCCACTCGCAGACCCCCTCCGTCTCGAGTCTCGCCAGTCGCCGGCCAGTGGGCAAGCGCTTCCAGCTCGCATACGGCTCAGACGAAGACCACGACGACGAAGAGAGCGGCACCGGCGGATGCCGGCCTACCCCTCAGATTGACGTTGTCCGCTCCCACGAGGAGGTTGTCTCATCACCCGATGGTACGCCCTCTTTCATCTCCGCCGAGGACCGTCTGCGCAGCCTTCGTTCGCCTCACCTTCACATTGGGCGGGACGGCGGCGGCACGTACTCAGGTCACGCATCCTTGTCGAATAGTGACGCCGAGGATAACTCTGAGGACGAGCACGCCGGTCATCGGGGTCACGGACGTGTTGCGTCGCTGGCGGCGCGGCTGGAGAAGCTCCCGAGTGGTGCGAACGGACGGCACGCCAACGGACATGCTACCGACACGCCAGGCGGCCATGTGAACGGCAAGGGCCCTGTTGCGATGGTCAACGATGAGGCCGTCACCAAGGAAGATGCAAACTTGGACGATTACGGCATGGTGCCTGGCGCGCGGGCGAATCGTCTCGGCGATGCGCTCAGCAGTGTCGGCTCCGACGGTGGCAGGGACGCGGATGACGATGACGATATCGACCGGGCCGAGAGGGCCGACCGGAGTATACAAGGGAGCGTCTATTGAGCATGGTGCTGAGCAAACCACACCAGCAAGGCGAAGGAAGGTGGGAGCGTTGCAGGGCGCCAAATTCGGCAAGGATCAGGAGTCATCGCGATGCAGAGAGAGAGCCAGGTGCTCGAGAGATTGAATGGGACTGCATACATGGCGTTGGGTTCTGTTTCACGCGAGGCACAAGGCACGGCATTATGGAGATATACCTGGGTAGATGTTACGAGTAGATCAAAGCAGCACTTTTCTGTCACGCGCGTCAATCACCAAGGTGACTGCGCATGTTCGCTTTCCAGGCATCCGCATCATGAAAGAGTGCTCCGAAACAGTGTTCCAATGGCTCTTGACTTCTGAATTGCTGTCGGAGCAATGACGAAGCGGGTCATCACGACGACTTCTGGGAAGATATGCACAGCCATCCAAATTTCATTCCAAAAAAGGGGGTATCCGCCACATACTACGCTGCTCCTAATTATTATCCACTCCTTCTGACCCGTTACGCCAGGTGTCCTCCATCACCTCCCATAGCCCGAGCCTCCGGACCCATGGTGCCCGTCCACCGGCAACTCTGACAACGGTCTTTGCCTGCCGGCCTCGTTCGCGTAGCTTCCGTCCAGCTCCATCGCCTCTGGGCCAGGCCCAAGCCCGTGACCTTGCCAGGACCCGAGCTCGCCCAAAGGCGGCTGCTGCGGAACAAGTTGGTGACCGTGCGGCATCGGATACCCGGGACTCGAGTAGTGCTCTGGGCCGCCGCCCTGGTGAGGGGGGCTCTGCGTCCACGTGTGCCGGTCGGACTGAGACATGGACATGGCGGCCGTGGCTGACTCGCTGGGATGCTCGCTGCCCGGAGCCCCGGCGCCGTACGCGCCGTAGTTTCCTGTTGCTTGCGCTTTTGTCGCGATGTCCCGTTGCCTCGAGCGGCGGCGGAGGAACCAGAAGACGAGAGCGACGAGGGCGACGAGGGCGACGCCACCGACAACGCCGCCGGCGATGGCACCTACGGGGAGAGAGGCGCTACTGTCGGTAGTGCTGTCGTCTGTGGAGGCGGCTGAGGTGGATGAGGATGTTTGTGTTGTCGAGGTGGTATCACGAGAGATTGGCTGAGTTGTGGTCACGGTCTCGTCGGCTGTTGTGAGTTCTGGGGCCTGATTCCGGTAAATGGTATGCGCCGCCCAGTCTGCGAGTTGTCAGGGCAAGGTTCTCGGGACATCAGGTCGTCATCGAAAACCTACTGCGGCCGCATACTATGATCGAGGTTGGGTTGCCGACCTCGAACGGAGCTGGCGTTTGATAGAGTTTCATTGTGACGCACGAATACTCCGTGCCGCTGGTATAGTCGTCAATTATGATTCCCAACCATCTATTCACCATGAATGAATGACATACCAAGCAAATGTCTCTTGGTTATCGTAGGTAACCGTGTTATCTTCGCAAACGGTGGCCATCTAGTCCCAATGGGTAAGCCACAGTCAACTTGGAGGGGCGGTACAATGTCCGCGACATCGGTCTGTTGCTTACAGAACATGGGTCCGACGCACAACAGATGCCAAATCTTCCAGATGTCTGGAAATTGACACCAGAAGAACACATCATGGCAGACGCTGTACATTATCTGGTCAATCATCGAGCCATCATGCAAGAGTTGTTCAGTATCCTACTTCCTGTGGGACCCATAGACCATCCTTGAAACTCGGTTGAAGCCTGCTGTATTGATGGCGGCGGGGTCGAAGATGGCACCGCCACAGGTCTGTCTGTTGTAGCTGAGGCTGTGGCCTCTGGAAGGCTCTCAATACCTGATGATACCGACATATCGGCTATCAACGAAAACGCTTTTGGTTCCGCAGTCTGTATGGTCGTATTCGCAAGCGCCAGGTTGACCTGATCACTGTCGTGTTGTTTGTCGGCCGGATGCTGCTTGTGAAGCGTGTCGGTGGACGCGAGAAAGGGGGCGGGATCGCGAGCTCAAGAGGTCAGCTTGTTGCCGCCGCCCCGCACGCGGGCTCTACACAGCCTTATGTTATGACCGTTCGCCATTTGCGCCAAGCAGGCCGAATCCTGCAGCAAGGGCTTGCTGGGACCACCAACAGCGCGGGCGAGATGGCTGTACATGTACAGTCTACTGCCAGGCAAATTGCTTATTGGGCTGATAGGGCAGCACAGCACAGCAGTTGGTGTAACGTTTGCTGTCTGCCAGGCCGTACCAGCCCTGTAGCTCCACGAAAAACGTCCAAAAATACCTTCTCGCGTGCGGCTGGTGGCAGTGCAGGCCAAGCAGCCGCTCCCGCGTCTGGGGGCAACGACTGTGATGGGCATAGCTCCCATCCTTCCAAGGCTTGGTGCGAATCAAGCCCCTGGTCTAACGGGGCTAGGTCGAATCTCGACCAGTCCTGTCGGTCCTGAATGGTAAGGCGCGCCTCTGTGGCTGCTGCGGGCCGTCCGTTCTTATCCAGCTGACGACAATTTACCTAGGCCATGGGAGATTAGAGCTGATCCGATGGACGGTTTCGCGGTGCGCTTTTGCTTTCTGCGCAGAAAAATCCTGGCCTCCTTCCCTTGGGCCTAGCTGCAAAGCTCACACTCTCTAGCCATGTCCTCTTGCTAAGGACAGGACAAGTAATTAGCGCCTTTCATATCGCCAGGAGAGAGTTGGTTCGCATTCTGCAAAGATGCGCTGATGTCAAGCCGGTCATAACATGCATCAACGGACAATACGGCCTATGACCCAGATTGCTCAGCGTTGCAATCCAAACCTGGCGGCGACGCCCGACCTCGTGCAGGCAAGTAAGCTGGGAGTGGGGGCTGAATCGAGAGCTTCGACGATAGTAGCGGGCGAGATCTACATCTGCTGCAGCGAACCCAACGAATGCCCCTCCTCACGTGAGACGCAAGATGCACTGGCGACTCTGCCACCTTGGTAAGGCTCACGCCAGGCATTGAGCCTTGAGCCAACGCGTACGAGAGTAAGCGCCGCATGTAGCGTGCACTCGCCCTCGTCTATGGTATCATTGCAGCTTTGCTCGCAGTCAAGCCGCGTGCTACAGTCGCTGTGGAGGGGTGTCGCACCCTTTTAAGCGGAGATGGAATGGGAAAGCCTTGCCGTGTCTTGGCGTTTGGCGGCTCACCCGCCGGGAGGATGGTGGGGTTCCATCACACGCCCATTCTGCATCTCGCATTGAAGCCCGTAACGACATGGCGATGCCCAACGTCCCTGGTTCTCGTCAGGTACAGGACTTGCTCTCGTCATGTTGCATGCGACTCTCAGCGGCCATTCGGGTCACATTAGCCGCGCTCAGGGTGATCTTATAGTTTGCTGGCTGCATGACAGAGATGTTACCGCGAGGAGCAGGCATGACAGGCGCGCCAAAGTCGTGGGACCGATGCCCCGTGTCGCGTATCGTGTCGCTTGGCTTGGGTAGCTCATTGCTGGTGTGATGTTCCTGGTGATGTGTAACTTCATGTATGAGTTGAGCAAGTGACGCAGGGTCGAGCAAGAGTGCGACCACCGCGACTACCTGTCCACGCCTCGGTCATCCGAGGGCTCTGCCATCGACCGTCGGCTGCGAGGTTCGGAGGTCGGTGATACGAGCAGCTCGCGGGGTCAATAAGCAAAAGTTGGGGAAAATGGGACCATTATTACTCGGGGTATGGGGTGCGGGGGAAGCAGGGAGTAGGTTGTAGGGAACAGGCCGAGTATCCCGTGGGTTGAATCTGAGATTCTCGAGTGTTGGAGCATGGGAGCTTTGAAATCTCGACATCCTGAATATCCGCGAACGAACGTCCTACACCTCTAGTGTCAGGAAACCTCTAGTGTCAGGGGGGTGGGACGGGATCCGGAAGGTATCGGGCAGGGGACACGAGGCAAAGTGGCACCAGTGCCTCCACTAGGGTCCTTAGTTGGTCAGGTACGATATAGCAGGAGGGAGGAGCGGAGGTGGGGAATGGGGAAGAGGGAAGGAAGGAGGGGAGAAGAAGAGCAGGGACGAAGGGTGGAAGGGAGGAAGGTATCGTGCCACCCATGTCGGGCAGGTACCTACGCAGGCGGTCAAACTTTCCACGGAGAGGCATGAACGACGCTTCTAGGGCACACGAGTTCAGACAAAGACGGCAACTCCATGCTCGTTAGTGCTGCAACGAACGTGACCCAGACCCCTGGATGCGTGGTGCCATCAAAATTGCCTACCTACGTTAGGTAGGCAATTTTGATGGCATCTACCTACCTACCTACCTAACGCTGCGTCAACTCGCTCGACAAGTTGCGTCGTTCAGTCAAAACCAAGCCCCGAACCAGAACCCAGAAGGCTCCTGTCTCAAAAGCATCCCGCCATCGACGGGAAGATCTATCAGTACGAAGAAGGCGCGTCGATCTGCCTTTCAAATCTCTTGGCCAGGCTTGGCTCAAGGAACTGCACAATGGCGTCAATGGCAATTGGCCACGCGAGCTCCCAAAACAGGAGCCAGTCGGCAACCCCGAGTCATGGCGGCGTTCGTCCCGACTAGGAGATTGAGTTTTGAAGGGCCCCCGGACGGTTTTCGCCTGTGTGCGTCGTTGGGTGCGTTGGGTGCCTTTCAGCTACCATGCCTTCTCCTCGGAACTGCAACATCTCGTCATGCCACCCGTCGGCTAATGCCAATAATGACCGATGCCTTCGGTTTATTCCGTCCACTTCCCAGGGAAACAAGCCTTTAGCAGCCACAGCCGCCGCCCGCCACGAGGGAAGCCTGCAACGACAAGGTTCTCCCTTTCTTCCAAGCATGTGCCCACGTCTTTCAGTGCTTCCGAAACAAGACGTTGCCACGAGGCACACCGAATCGGTGCCAATGTTGAATCGATGCCACCTTGAGAAGCCGGCGTCCCTGCTTGGCAACATTGTCGGGCTTGGTCCGCTCACAAATCACTCAATCCCGCAACGCAGGATCGACACTGCATCCCATTAAGGCAATCCGACAGGAAGGCGGACCTCAAGAGCGTGTGTGACCACAAAAACAAGCAGGCCGCCTGGTCGTGATTGAGGCTCTAGCGGCACTTCAACGGTGGGCGCCCGGTACCCAGACCACACTTCCGATGCCGACCTAGCCGTCTGACACGCACTACCCACACCTCTAGACCCCAACTCCCTCTGTATAGCCAATCAAGAGTCCCTCTGAAGTTGGGAGCGCCGTGTTCGTCGAGGCAATTTGGCGTCACGACTCGTGCCATTTCAGCCGCTACCAGAGGCGAGGGACGGTCGTCTGCCGTCTGATCCGTGAAAATCGGGGCTTGGCATAGGTCTCCGACAGCGCCTTTCCCGGCTTGGCAAGGACGTCCACCCCCGGACAACAGCCTTCTTGTTGATTTCCTCGCGCCCTCGTTGGACGGAAACTGGCCGAGAAATCGTGCAACAATGGGTCGACCATTTAAGCATGTTTTTCTCGCGTTTCTGCAGAGCCAACGTAGCCACACCCCTGTCCCTGGGGTTGGCGGCTTAGTTGGGCGACTCTCTTGGGGGGCTCAACACAACACTTCTGACCATCACACCGTTTCTCATTGGGCCCAGGCCTTCTAGACGCCGACCGACGACCAACTCAACGTTGCCAGGGCCTCGGGCAAGCGAGATGGATTCCACGCGGTCCATTATCGTCGCCACCGGGGCCCCCCCTTCCTTGCCCGTCGTCCCCTGCCCGGGCATGAGAACGGCCGGAGGAATGACCGACTGCCGCACCACTTGGACCAGTCATGGGACTACTTGCTTCTCCAAGGCTACTCCACACGCTGCGTGCGACTTGTGAGCGCGGCGGACTTCTCAGCGCAACCTAGTTTGTACCATGTAGGTCACGAAGTGGGCATGTTGCGCGCGAGTAAGTCCATGCAATCATTCCTCAGATCCGTCTCCATGGGGGAGGCTTCAGGTCCCCACGATGCCCTAGGGGGGCATGAGGGGCAGAGGGGTAAGACAAGCGGGGTGGTAGCACCAGAGTCGATGTCCAGAAAGAAATAAAAAGGATGGAAGCCGCATCTTCCCCAGGTCGATTGGGGCAGAACAGCTTGGTCTCCCATCCGAGTGTATAGCCTTCTCGACGCGCCTCGCCTCGCCTCTCCACTCTCATCGATATTCTTCCTTCTTTCATCCTCACAGATAGCCCAAGATGGCAGGCGGCGTCAAGAAGCCCGTGAACATCTTCAACTTGAAGAACCTGGGCGAGCCCGAGGGAGTCTTCAACTGGCGACTGTGGTTCGCCGTCGTCTCCTTTGGCCTGCTCGGTGCGGCCCGTGGTGTTGACGAGGGTCTCATTTCTGGCGCCTTCAAGTCGAAGGACTTCCAGCGCTTCATCCACTACGAGAACTACGACCATGTCGAACAGACCAACATCAAGGCCAATGTCTCGGCCATGGTCCAGATTGGCTCCGTCGGCGGCGCTCTCATGTAAGTCGACGTCACACGCGCACGCCCGCGTCTGATCCCTGCAATGTGCAATGCCGAATCTAACTTTTTTTTTCCAGTGCTTTCCTCATCTGTGACAAGATCGGCCGTATTTGGGCCACACGTCAGCTCTGTGTTGTCTGGGCTGTCGGTATCATCATCTTCATGTGCAACAACGGCCACCTCGGCGCCGTCTACGCGGGCCGCTTCATCGCCGGTCTTGGCGTCGGCCAGACCCCTGTCGTCGGCCCCGTCTACCTCGCCGAAATCGCTCCCGCCTCGATCCGTGGTCTCTGCACCTGCATGTTCACCGGTTTCGTCTATCTCGGCATTGTCCTTGCATACTTTGCCAACTATGGCTGCCAGCTTCATCTCGGCGACAACACGCACAACCGTTGGCTCGTGCCCACTTCGCTCCACATTATGTTTGCTGGCATCATCTTCATCCTCACTTTCTTCCAGTACGAGTCCCCTCGCTTCCTCGTCAAGCAGGGCAGGGTCGAGGAGGCCACTTCTGTCATGTCTCACCTGCGCCACCTGCCCGAGGACCACGAATACATTGTGCGCGAGATCAGCGCCATTCAAATGTCCCACGAGGCTGAGCTCGAGGCGACCCGCGGTGCCAGCTTCTTCGGCAAGATCAAGGAGATGTTCCTTGTCCCCAGCAACCTCTACCGCGTCTACCTCACGAGCATGGTTCAGATTCTCTCGCAGTGGTCTGGTGCTGGCTCCATCACGCTCTACGCCCCCGACCTCTTCGAGATCCTTGGTGTCACGGGCCAGAACGAATCGCTGCTCGTCACCGCCGTCTTCGGAATCGTCAAGTTCTGCGCTGCCATCATCTGTGCCCTGTTCCTTGTCGATGTCATCGGCCGCAAGCGCGCTCTCCTCATCGGCATCACCCTGCAGGCTATTGCCATGGTCTACGTCGCCGGGTTCCTCACGGGCATCCCCCAACTCGGTGTTGTCGACGACTTTGAGGTGCCGAAGAAGGACCTGGGTGCCAGCCGTGGCGCCATTGCCATGATTTACATCTCGGGCTTCGGCTGGGCTCTCGGCTGGAACTCCATGCAGTACCTCCTGACTGCTGAGCTTTTCCCTCTGCGCATTCGTGCCCTTGCCACTTCGTGGGCCATGACCCTTCACTTCAGCAACCAGTACGGCAACTCGCGCGCCGTGCCCAACATGCTCCTGCCCACGGGCCACGGTGGTATCAGCCCCAAGGGCACCTTCTGGTGCTTCGCTGCCGTCACCATCATTGGCGGCATCTGGGTGTGGTTCTTCGTGCCCGAGACTGGCGGTCGCTCGCTCGAGAGCATGGACAGGTTGTTCGACCTGCCCTGGTACAGGATTGGTCTCTTTGGCAACAAGGATGCCGAGGAGCAGGATGCCATTTACGACGAGAAGGCCGAGGCGGCCGAGCAGAACATTGGCCAGTCTGAGCATGCGGAGAAGAGGGACGAGCGGAAGGAGATTGCCTAGGTGCACTGGTGTTGTGTTAAAGTTCCCTTGTGACGCTTGATGACTAGACTAGGATTTGTTGTCAATCAAACCAACTGTTCAAATTCATTGCTTTATCGGGCAAAACCTTGCACACGTGAATGATTATGCGGCATGCGGGCACCTGCAAACCTAGACGGCTCACAGAAAAGTCTGACGGGAGTCCGGTGTGCACCATGTTAGCAACAGCGTCCTTGGGGCCTTCGCCCGAGCTCATTCCACGCTCTTCGATCCCACAAATCTGGTTCCATACCACAGGGCAAGGCGAAAAGGCGCCTTAACACACCAGAATTACGTTTGATGCTCACCCAAGCCCCACCACAGTCCTCTGCTTCAGGTCCATGTGATGGGCGAGAACCAGGTAGGTGATATATTAGCTCGGGTAGGTAGGGTAGGCGGTTTGGCGCTGAAGGAGGTCCCGCCACGTGAGGAGTAGTTGTGAAATCTTCCAAGTATTTAGATAGTCGTATATTCTTCTCCCGTTTGTTAGTGATGGGGTGTTTAGGTCTCGGATAGATATCCTGGTCCTATCAGCGACCATGGTCTTTGGGTAACAAGTGACTCGAGAGGATACTTCCTCCCGAGCGGTCAAATACCATGGTTCGGGCGTGCTGTCGCGTCGATGAACGTCTCCTTCAGTCGCCGGGTCAGCGTCGCGCGACTGACCAGGTAATTAGACCTCGGCAACAGACCGCGCGTTATTTGGATACTATATTGTCCCTGCTATAGAAACACGCGTTGCGACGAACATGGTCGCGTGGTCGAGCCGGGTGGTCTCATTCGCTTAGAAATACGTGAATAACAAGCTTTCGGCTCCGACGTCGAGAGAATCTGAGTCCATGCTACGGGGACACGTCACGACCGGCAGACCCAACACAAGTGTCTCCTCGCCGCCAAAACAGATTCTCGATCAAGTCCTGACTATGGAGCAATACGGCGACGAGTCTCCCTTGGATGCCGATCCCCTGCTTGACGACGACCTCGACGACTTTGACCCTTTCCCTGATGGTGAAGGCGAGGGCCAGCACTCGCTAGGCTCAAGGTCCTCACGGCGCCGCGTACAGTGGAAGAAGAGCTGGGTTCCCTGGCAACGCCTCGGTTCGAGGCATGCCTTTGACGCTTTCAGACCCACGACTCCGTTCGCCATTGTCGTGCTGCTCGCGTGTCTGAAGGCGACGCTGTTTAGCAGCGGCATTCTCTTCCTGACGCCATTGTTCCGCCTGGTAGAGGATGCCATTTGTCATGTGCACTACCAAAAGGACCTCGCCGAGCCGATTGAGGAGAAGGAGTGCAAGGTCGACGAGATCCAATCGCAGCTGGCGTACCTGCTCGGCACTGGCGCCGTGATAGGGGCACTTGTCACGCTTGTCGTCGCTTTTCCCTATGGTGTGCTCGCTGACAGGTGAGCTGCTTTTTCCTTCTTTTTTTTTTCTGTCTTTCATTGCCCAGTCAGGATGCCTCGAACTGACGACCCAGGCTCGGCCGCAAGCCGGCGTTTTTCCTCGCCTACCTCGGGATACTGCTCGGCTTCGGATGGGCGCCGTTCGTCCTCTCGGTGTCGAAGCAGCCGAACCTGTGGACGCTGCTCCTGGGCCAGTTCTTCTTCCTCATCGGCGGCGGCGTGTCGGCGGCCGTCAACAGCATCTACGCCATGGCCTCGGACGTGAGCACCGAGGAGAACCGCTCGACGCACTTCCTGTACCTGTCGATCGGCGGCGTCGTGGCCGGCCTCGGCGTGCCGCTGGCGTCGGGGTTCCTGCTGCAGACGTACGGCCCGTGGGTGCCGGTCAAGCTGGTCTTCTACCTGAGCCCCGCCGTCGTCACGGCGGCGAGCCTGCTGCCGGAGACGCTGCCCGTCAAGCTGCCGGACGGGCCCGGCGGCGGCGTCGTCCCGTTGCTGAGGCGACGACCGCTCGCGGCGGCGCTCCGACAGCAAATGGCCTCGCACGCGGCCGAGGTCGCCGGCGTCAGGGCGCTGCTGCGCAACCGCAGCCTCGTGTGCTGCCTCGCGGCGCCGCTCATCGCCAACGCGAGCTCGACGTCGCACTCGACAACGTTTACGCAGTACATCAGCAAGCACTTTGGCTGGTCGCTGGCGCAGACGACGTACGTGCACTCGCCGCTGGCGCTCTGCCACCTGGCGGTGCTCGTGGGGCTGCCGCGGGTGGCGGCGCATCTCTCGGCGCCGCGGGGGCGGGGCGGGCGGCTCGGGCTGACTCGGTTCACCAAGGACCTCATGCTGACGCGGGCGTCGTACGGGGTGCTCGCGGGGTCGTCGGTGCTGCAGGGGCTGAGCCCGTCGGTGGTGCCGTTCCTGGCGACGTACGCGCTCGGCATGCTGGGGTCGGCGACGGCGCCGCTGACGCGGGCGCTCACGACGGCGTTCGCCGAGAGGAAGGAGCACACGTCGCGGCTGTATGCGCTGTGCAGCATCGTCGACACGCTGGGGTCGTTCATCGGCGGGCCGGTGCTCGCGTGGACCTTCTCGGCCGGCATGCGCTGGGGCGGCGTGCTGCGCGGGTTGCCGTGGCTGTATCTCGCCGTGCTGTACGCGGGCGCCGGCGCGGCGTTCATGATGGTGCGGGAGCCGCGGCACGTGAAGCTGCCGCTGCAGACGGAGGGGGAGGGAGACATGGGGTATGAATCTGCCGCCGAGGAGGAGGAGGAGGAGGAGGGGCTCGGCGCGCGGTAGGCGGCCGCGCCATGTGTGGGATGCATTCGCTCTTGTTCGTCTGTATTAGTAGTAGTAGGGCCATGGGTTAGGGTGGTGTTAGGATAGACAAGGCTTCTCTGATGTCTGGTCATGTTCTTCCGTCAGGGTGGATGGAGCATTGCACCTTGCCTCCATTCTCGTTGTGGATGGAACCACGCCCTAAACCCTAAGACGCCAAATCAGTGACAGCTCCTTCCAATTTACCAAGATGGATGTCTTGCGGTGCAGCACATCGGACAGTGGTATGAACAAGTCCCTGGACAGTGTAGGGAGCAAAAGATGCAACATCATTGCGCAAAACTCCACCAAAGTCGAGGTATAGCGATGGCGTCATGCCAGATGCCGGTTGGTGACGTGGTCGCTTGAATTATGCTTCTCCAGGTTCGTATGGGGGAGCCGTGAATTGGTAGAGTTCTGTGAATACCAAGGTTTGTCCCTCAAGGTGGGTGTTTCTACACCTCCACTGATGGCGTTGGTGAAGGCCGACAAGCTGAAGGCCGACAAGCTGAAGGCCGACAAGCTGAAGGCCGACAAGCTGCAAGGTCATCGTCATCTCTGATCCTCATCTCTGAATCCTCTTCTCTGATCCTCTCACCTCTTTATACTTAATTGATTGCGCAAACACTTCGCAGGCATCACCACCACCACCACCACCACCACAGCACATACAATCTCTGCACGGCTTCTTCGTCCCCTCAATCTCTGCACGGTTCATCCGTCGATATCGTGCGCGCACAATGACGGCCGACAAGGGCATCCAGCAGAGCCCCCCCACAGCCATTCCAACAATTACTCTCACAACGCCAGAAAGCGCACAAATGGCATGCCCCGTCCTCGCCAGCAACCGTGAAAAAACGACCCTCAAGCGCCGCCCCTCGCTCTCCGCATCCCAGCAAGAGGGCTTCCTGTGCGTGCCGTCGCGGGGTACGACACGGCGCGACAGGCTGCAGACGGACTTGTGCGACGAGTGCACGCCCTATCGGTGCCGGAAACACCAGCAGCACACCTCGTCTGGCCCCGAGCTCGACGCCGCCAAGACCAGGACCGAGGCCAAGACCATGACCGAGAATCAGACAAAGGACGACGCCGAGTGTCGCAGGGTCGTCGCGGGGGCGGCGCGCGCCGGTTCAGGGCCGGCGTGGTTGAGGATGGGGGCGCGAGTTGCGCGCAGGGGACTGGAGGGCAGGAGGATCCGCATCAATGGGCTGTGGTACTATGAGAATGTCGCGCGTGCCGCGTAGGGTCCATCCGTCCGGGGCTCGAGGTGATTGAGCGACGTGGTCTTTATGCTTATTTCTGCGACATTGGAAGGCAGCGCTCAGGAGGCATCATGCGACTCGGCACAACAGGGCACGAGATGCGAGGAATGGCACCACGATACGAAAAAGGTAACGGAAAACGATCCCTGTACACGAGAGAAAAGAAGACCAGGCAAGAAATAGGACAGTCGACCCGCCAGCCGGACGGACGGCGGCGGGAAAACCGCCAACGATGCCGCGACGACGTTTTGCTCCGTGCCAAGCATCCCCCCCCCCTCCCCCGGAACCCTGCCGTGGGGGGCTTGCGCCAATGCGACTCTATCGTCTGATGTACATTCTCTGCAGGCGATCGGCAACCCTGACTGCCTGACTGCCTGACTGCGTAAAGGTGCCCGCACGCCTTGGCGGGCTTCACAATGTGGGGGAACAGAGGGGTATCAAGGGTATGTAGAGGGGCAGCGCGGACGGACGTGACGAAAGGAGCGGCGACATGGTCATGTCGTGGTGCTGACTGGTGGAAAATCTGACTCGACTCTGTGCTCATCGACACTGCCTGGCGGGGTTTTTGAGAGTTGTATCATCATGTGCGAGGAACTGAGGGTATATAGATGAAGGGTTTGAGCAATTGGCGTCGCCAGCAGGTCGAGCTGCTTTCCCGACCTGACAATTGAACAACCACTCGACGATTGCCGACTCGTAGAACTCAGACAGAGGAAAAGAGAGACTATACCGATAAAGGCCCCCGAAGCAGGACGAGCCAAACATGTCCCTCGACGCACACGCGCAGGCCCTCTCGGCGTCGCTGGCCAAGGCCAAGCTCGTGCCGGGCTCAGCCGACGGCCTCATCCCCGACGACTTCGCGCCGGCGACCAAGCTCGACGTGGCCTATGACGGCCAGGCGCTCGAGCTGGGCACCTTTTTCCGCGCCAGCCAGTGCAAGGTGCCGCCGAGCATCGCCTTTGCCGCCGAGGCCGGCGCCGCCGCGACAACAGCGTCGTACCTGCTGCTGCTGACGGACCCCGACGCGCCGACGCCCGACAACCCGCAGTTTGCCTTTTGGCGGCACTGGGTCGTGCCGGGGCTGCAGCCGCTGGGCGACGGCAAGACGGTCGTGGCCGAGACGAAGCCGGCGCTGACGGCGTACCTGGGGCCGGGACCCAAGGATGAGTACGTTGTGCCGTGGTGCCGTTGGCCGTGGTGCCGTTGGCCGTCGTGTCGCTCCCCTTATTCCTGCATAAGCATGCTGACCTCGTGACACAGCTCGAAGCCGCACCGATACCTGTTCCTGCTGTTCCGCGAGCCCGAGGGTCTGCAGCTGACCAAGGAGGACGTCGGCGGCGAGGAGTTTGTGCAGCGGCGGTCGTTCAGGCCGGCCGAGTGGGCTGCGAAGCACGGATTGAAGCTGGCGGCCGTCAACTGGATGACGGTGGCCGGCGATGGCTGGAAGGAGGAGTGAGCATTCGTTCGAGTGCAGAGCTAGACGGCGCAATAGACGGGCATTCTGAACATGCGATGGTTGCCAAGGATTGCTGTGATCATTTGCTCGTCACTGAAGGTGGCGATGTTCAGAATTCGTCCTCTGAAAGACTGAAAGAGCTCAACGTAGTCGACAGAGGTAGTCGAGGTAGTCGAGGTGGTCGATGTCAAAAGAGAGTCGAGCGACTGGCGATCGAGCAGACGCGAGACGCGAGACCCAGTGGTCCGTGCACATGCTCGACCTCGACGCGTCTGCTCTTGCTCTGCCTTGACTCCTACCTAGGTACCTCTTGCTCTGCCTTGACTCCTACCTGGGTACCTCTTGCCTCTGCCTTGCCTCGCCTACCTAGGTACCTCTTGCCTCTGCCTTGCCTCTGCCTTGCCTCCTACCTAGGTACCTAGGTATGCATACTGGTAACCAAGCTTTCTACTCAGAGCATCAGAGCATGAGACGTGCGGCCTTCATCATGCGTCGACAGTCCTCTCTTGCTGCAGCCAGAAAGATATCGCTTCAGGCCGAGGCCGACAGCTCGGAACCGGAGGGAAACCCGGCACCCATGCCAATTCCATCATCAACCGCCAAGACACGCTCTCGCCCCCTGGAAGACGCGTCTCCCAGCACGACCAACAGCAAACCAGAGCAATCCGACGATGGGGAATCCGAGGAATCCGAGGAACCCAAGCCCAAGAGGCGAAAGACTGCCGTCAGGAAGAAGAGCAGCAACGCGCCATACGCCAGCCTATTCACCCAAGGATCACCATCACCCTCTTCCTCATCCTCATCCTCACCCCCACCAACGGCTGTACCCCCCCTGCGAAGCCACACGCTCAGCTATCATCGCCCTCTTCTCCTCGACGGCGCCTCCCACCGCCGAGACCTTTTGGCATGGTTCGATTCCGTGAGCACCACCCGTCAAATGCCCTGGCGCAAGCCATTTCTCCCCGCCCCCGTCGCCCGTGCCGACCTCGAACGTCGCGCCTACGAGGTCTGGATCAGCGAGATCATGCTGCAGCAGACCCGCGTCGCCGTCGTCATAGACTACTGGAACCGCTGGACCGCCAAGTGGCCCACCATCCAGGACCTCGCCGCCGCCGAGCCCCATCATGTCCTCGCCGCCTGGCGCGGCCTGGGCTACTACAGCCGCGCCACGCGCATCCACGACGCCGCCCGCCTCGTCGTCGCCGACGACAAGATGCAGGGCATGCTGCCCCGAGACGTGGCCGAGCTCGAGAGCAGGGTCCCCGGCGTCGGCCGCTACACCGCCGGCGCCATCTCGGCCATCGTCTTCGGACTCGCCGCGCCCATGGTCGATGGCAACGTGCTGCGCGTGCTGAGTCGACAGCTCGGCGTCTATGGAAACGTCAAGACGGACAGGACCACCATCGACATGCTGTGGGCTGCCGCCGATGCCCTCGTCAAGGCGGTCGCCAGGGACGGCGACACCGGCAGCAGCCGTGACGAGCAGCCTCCCGTGAGCGACCGCCCGGGACGGTGGGGACAGGCCCTCATGGAGCTGGGCAGCACCATCTGCACCCCCAAGCCTGACTGCGCGCAGTGTCCCGTCACGGCGAGCTGTCGCGCGTATGCAGAGGGCCTGGCGCTCGCGGACCGGTCCAAGCCTGCTCGTGTGCCGGACATGGAAGACGCATGCACATTGTGTGAGTCGTTTGCCGATTCAGAGGCCGAACCCGCCGTTGCCGAGAAGCCGGTCAAGAAGGGGGTAAAGCAAGGCACTCTGTCCGCCTTCTTCAACGCGCCGTCCACAAAAGCCAAGAGCGCCCCGAACCTCGCCTCGAAACCGACGCAACGCCAGATGGAGACCATTGTCGAGCACGCCCGCAAGTTTCCCCTCAAGGTGGTCAAGAAGGCGGTGCGCGAGGAAGACACTCTCGTCTGCGCCATCCGCCGAGCCGACGGCTGCTTCTTGCTGCATAAGCGGCCCGAAAAGGGGCTTCTGGCCGGCTTGTGGGAGCTGCCTTCGAAGATCCTGCCCGACGGAGCCCAGACCTCGAGCGCGCGGGTCAAGATGGCCAAGGCGCACGTCGCCGGCCTCCTCGGCAAGCAGGCGCGTCTCGTGCAGCATGCAGGCGAACTGGGGACTGTGCCCTGGCTGTTCTCGCATCTCAAGCTGACGATGCATGTCCATCTTTTTGACTTGGCTGGCCCCGACCCGGCTTCCCGTGGTGAGCGTTGGGCGACGAGTGACGAGGTCGAAGCCGAGGCCATGGGGACAGGCATGCGCAAGTGCTGGGCTCTGGTTCAGGGCCACGGTGTTTGTGCTTGACCTGATGGCCGTCCAACTGCTTGACCTGACGCTTGTTGAAAGCTGAGTGCGTTGCACAGACCAGAGTGTCCTCCGTTGTCGTCTCTTTCCTTGGCCCATCAATCCGGCGATGAGTGGAACGCAGACACTTTCCCTGCTGTGCTTGTGCACCACACATGGTTGCAGTCATGAGCAAAAGCCTTGCCCCCGCCTTCCCAGACTTCACTTCGAGCAATGTCCGCCAAGAGCTGCAGAGATCCCATCAAACCTCACCCACCGGTGAGAGCATCAGAACTTTTTGGCAGGCTAAGAGATCAACTCATCACTATGACGATCGCAACATGCACTTCAGCTGGTGTTGATGCCAAGACCCCGACGACTCCCTCGCTCACTGGACTCAAACTTGACGATCCGCCCAAAGTCGACAGCGATTGCCTCCCCGAAGTCGATTCGCGAGAGGGGTCGTACCCCGAGACAGCATATTCCTCGCTTCCCGAGGTCGTCGAGTTTCCACACGAACCAGAGAGCAGTACCCTCGCAGCAGAGAAGCCCTTGGACGGGTCCGAAACAGTACCGTTCGAAGCTTCATCCATTGGAGACAGGGGTAAATCTTGGTGGCAGCGGTGCAAGACACCGCTGCTGCTCATCGTCCTCGTCTGTGCTGGCGTAGCCATTGGATGCGGCATAGGCGTCGGTCTTGCAGCCGGCAACGGCCCATCTGCCAGCGATGGCAGCGATATCTCGTGAGTCCCATGGCTTCTCTCCATCACCCAAGACAGGGCACTTACCCCAGGGGCAGCTCAAACCCCTCATCGCCCGCCCAGACGGCGCCCTCTCCATCCCTCGCCGCCGCATCGTCCTCCTCCACAGCCCAGCAACCCTCGCCCACGTCAAGCGTCTACCTCGCATCTCTGCTCCGCGGCCCAACCCTCCTCAGCAGCGCCGGCCTGCTCCAAGACGACAACAGCACGGCCTGCCGCTCGGCCGTCCCGTACGCGGCCCCGGGCCGCGCCCCCTGCGACCAGCCCTTCGAGCTGAGCGACGGCCTGACCTACCGCTGGCGCGGCTGCGGCCAGCTGCCGACCTACGTGACCTGGGCCGTCGGCGCCGACGGCGACGAGACGCGCCTCGGCGTCTGCGACGATGTCCCGCCCGCGGCGCGCTGGGACTGCGGCGGCGGGCAGACGCTGGCGGCCGAGTGGCTTTGCGGGCCGGCGGCGGTCTGAGAGCTGGGTTGGGACGGCAGCATTTTGGCTTACTCTGTGATGCGCGAGAGGTGTTCAGCTGGGGCATGTGAGACACCGAGTTCAGCGTCCATGATCAAGTCTACCGATTCCAGCACTTGGGTGTATGGCTAGAGGGATTATCAGAGTTGCCGTGCTTCTGTATTGATGGATCCCTCGTGACGTGGAACCCTGCATCTTGCTGTTCTGCTGGTTTGCAGACCTGGCAACCCTAGAAACAGCTGCCAGCCAGACTACATAACCCAAGGCGCTTTCCTGTCAGCTTTGTCGGCTCCTCGATTATGGTCCCCTAGAACCGTGAGCTCAGCGACTAGCGTGGTCTAGATACCCGCTGGGTGTGATAGACATGATTACATTAGCAGGTGTACCGAGCCTACGTTCAACATATTACGCGGCCACAGGGCATTAGCAGCTACAGCTACAGAAGAACACGGAGCATTCAAAACGTTTGTCATTGCCAGGCAGACTTCTATGCATATAATCACAAATGTCATACCCATAACAGACCTCGTCTCACATTCATTCAAACAACCCCCACCTCCATCCTCCCCCGACCTCACTTGGGCCCGAAGCCAGGGAACTTGCGCAGCCAGCCCTTGGGGGAGGGCATTGGGTCTGGCTGGTACTGCGGCCGTCCCAGGCCGGCGCCCCAGCTTTGCCAAGAGCTCTCGGTATCTGCGCCGCTGATGGTCGTGTGAATCGTTGGAGCCATCGAGGGTTGCCGTTGGGGACGCATGGTCCGCAGCGGGGGCACGTCGTCCCTCGACGTTGGGTCGCGTCCGTAGAACGAGAACGAGGATCGGTGCACGTCGTCGACGGGAAATTCATAACGGTTCGAGGGAGGTCGGATGGCCGGCTCTGGGGGCTGGACGAGCGGCTCCATGTCGTCTTCCTTCTGCAGGGTGCGGGACTGGAAGAGAAAGGGAACAGCCGGCACAGGGGGAGCAGAAGCGTCGGCGGGTACAGCGCGCCGGACGTCCGACATGGAACTCTGACGGCTTGACTGGTAGGACTCGGATAAAGCGTTTAGCCGCAAGGGGTTGAGACGGTTGACCCAGCTTGCGATCGATGTGCGTGCGTTTGCGGCGAATCCAGCGGGCGGCGTCTGCGAAGCAATAACGTGGGGTCCCTTTTCGACGAATCGGTTCTGGGAAGCCATGGACTGTTGGGCTGGGATCCCTTGGTTGTCGGCGTAGGCGGCCGTCATGAGTTCACCCATGAGGCTTGACGGCGCTCTGCGTACGCTCCGCTGGTCGAGGCGAGCAGCAGCCTCCTGCGTAAAGACTTGGCTCGGTGCCCTAGAGACAGGCGGCGTGAGCTTGGCCTTCTTGCGACTGCGGCGGCGCATGCACCACCAAATGGCCACTCCGATGCAGAGGAGGACAGCAGCAGCACCTGTCACGTTGTCAGCCTAGTCTTCTGCGTCCATCAAGGAGAGGTAGCCTACCGATAGAGCCGAACGCGATCCCTAGCCTGGGGTCGACCATCCGCCCAGAGTTGCCAGATCCAATCTGAGAAGCAGCATCGGCAGTTGCCTGGCTAGAAGATGAGCTGGAGGAGCTCGACTCGGTGGATGAAGAGGACGAGGAAGACGTTGTATCGGTAGAAGAAGTCGTCGTTGGTGGCGCCGTCGTGATGGTGCTGAAAGTGCTGATCTCAGTTGGCCGCGGCTGAGAGTCCGAGGATGTGGTCTCGTCAGCACGCTCCGTCTCACCCGCCGCCGGCTGTTCAGCAACAGGCGGCCTGATGGGGTTCGCCACGACATCTGTAGGCCCAGCGTTCGGAGGCGGCGCCGTGGTACTGGAAGGGAACGAAGTCGTCGTGGGCGATGGCGAGTCGATTTCATCGGAGGAGCTATCGTCAGGGACGGGCGGCTCGATGGGCGCCAGCTGTCTCGGGCGAAGACGACGGTAGCGCGGGCGGCGTTCCTCTCGGCTGGGCGGTGTTAGTCTTGGACCGTACGAGAGATGATAGGAGCTGGTTGACACTCACTTCTCCAGAAACCAGAAGCCAATGGGTTGGTCCATGGTGGCAATGAATGTGGTGTATCAAAACGAATGGAATACAGATGACCAGGCCAGCTGTCACGATGAGAAGCGAAAAGAAGAGATGGACAGGCAACAAGTACAATTAAAAACAACAAGTCAAGGACAAATGGGCACTGCCCGGGTCTTGGATCACGAAAGGAAGAGAGAAACGAAACGAAGAAGCATCACGACTGGATGAAAGGCGACTTGGGATGGAAGTAAGAGAAGAGGTTAGTTAGTCTGATGATGAATGGGGTTGCAGGCATAGCAATGCGAGATGACACCCGAGCCATGTCGGCCTCAGACCTATGGCAACTTCGGACACAAGCAAGTTGTCGTCTCAGACCCGTCGTGTTGACGTCGAGGTCGCTGTCAGTGTCAGAGAGCGACGGCGCCGTGGGGCAGACGACAGAGTAGAGACGAGGTGGCATTGTGGGCGGGCTGGGTCTGGCCGTTGACGATGGGACGGAGTGAAGGTGCTGGGGCGCTCAAGTGTTTCATCATGGCAACTCTTACAGACGGCAGGTCCCATCGGGCGAGCCAGCTTGCCAGCTTCTCTGCAGCTTGCTGCGAACCCCAGGCAGGAGCCGCCGGCTTGCAGGGTTCTGGCCTGGGGCAGGGGCCACCCCAGGGTCACCTTTCTTTCCACTGCACCTCATCCTGCCATTGTTGCGAGAGCCTCGCGCCTTCCTCCTCAGTCAGGAGCCATGCTTCCTCAGTCAGGAGCCATGCTTCCTCAGTCAGGAGCCATGCTTCCTCAGTCAGGAGCCATGCTTCCTCAGTCAGGAGCCATGCTTCCTCAGTCAGGAGCCATGCTCCCTCAGTTAGGAGCCCTCGAGAGACCTGGAGAGCACTGCGCACTACGCACTACGCACTGAGCGCTACTGAGCACTCGAGCGCCGGGGGAGCTCTCCACTGACTCAGCGGATCGCTCACCGTGAGATGCCCCTTCCTGCAAACATGAAGCACCAGGGGTTACAAGTATCGCCCATTATTGGCTGCTAAGTAAAGAAGCGGGGCTTTCCCGTCACGTCGAGCTCCCCCCTTCGAGCCAACGAGCCCTTCTCCATCACCACGCCCTCAACCGTCCTCACACAGATCATCGCCAAGATGAAATCTGCCTCGTTTCATCCTCGGCATCGGACCTTTTCACAGTCCCCTGGCGGACCCTTCAGTCCCTTGGCGGCCAGTCAAGCATTCGAGGCCCACTGACTTGGGCAGCCGATGATCTCTGCTCAAGACACTGAGCCAGCATCAGCCCGGGGTCGCGTCTTGGTCGATGCTTCGCCCGTGTTGGGGGCACGTCATGCCACGCCAGACGGCATGCCCGAGAGACGGACGCTCCATGTTCGACTCAACTACCTGCTTAGCCAGAGCACGGTCGAAATACCAACGCCGGCCGGGCTGGACCAGCTGCTTGGATGATACCCAGCCGCGCCTTGCCCTCTCTACATCATGCTGCCCATACCCCACAAAGACCAGACTTGCGAGCTGGTCGTTGCGAGCCGACAAGCTTCTCGCAAGAACAAGCATCCCGGCATCCAGCATGAGGCTTCGAGTCAGCGCTGGCACATTCTCAAACCGCGATCGTCTGCCGAGACAACTGTGGTGTTTGCGAATCGCTGCGAATCGCAACGTTATCGGGAGCATTGGCTGGTCGCTTGATCCCCCAGATTGCCGGCTCGGCATAATCAACCTTTGACAATTAACTGCGTCTGTTGCAGGGGTCTATGACCGGCTGGTAGGCCACGAATCGTCAGACGGCAGTGACCCGAGGCCACGGCCTGACACTCAATCTGAGAAACCTACACTTACAGATACAGTCCCAACGCTCCTGTTAAGGTGTCTACCACGCGAAATAAGCTTCGCGATCACGCTACAAAATAATTCTCATACTGGTCGCCCTGTGGCCCCGCGATATGACTCGGAGGCCATTCAGGGTCTGTCTCCCACAGCGTCTCAAACACATACTCGCCGCTGCCCACCTCCTGGTCTATGCCCTCAAGCACCACGCGCGCCTCTGCATTTGGCGGTACCCTGAGCCGTGTTGTCATCTTGGACCCTTCGCATCTCCAGTCCACCTCATATGGCCCGTAGGGCGAGTCAAACCATGTCCGAGCTGACCTGACCGTTCCACCCGGCTGTGGCTTCACCAGCGCCTTCTTCCAGCCTGGCAATGCTGGCGAGAGCCCACCCACCACATTATGCATGAACGCGCAGACCGACCCCAGCGCATAATGGTTGAAGGACGTCATCTGGCCCGGGTTGATGGTTCCGTCCGGCAGCATCGAGTTCCAGCGCTCCCAGATCGTCGTCGCACCCATCCCTACTGGATACAGCCAGCTGGGATGATCGCGCTCCTGCAACATGCGGTACGCAAGGTTCAGCATGCCGTTATCCGCCAGCACCTTGAGAATCATGGGCGTGCCTGCGAATCCAGTCGTGATCTTGAACTGCTCCCAACGAGTCAAGTAGCCCAGGCGCCCGCACGCCGTCGCCATTTGCTTGTCGTCAAAGAGCCCAAACCTCAGTGCAAGCGCGTACGAAGTTTGTGTGTCGCACGCTAATCGTCCTGCCTTCGTCACATACTCGTCTCGGAAGAGGTCCCGCAGGCGCGCAGCGTCTATCTCGTAGCGCTCTGCCGCCTCAGCCTTGCCCAAGATGCGGCCAACCTTGCCTGCAAGGTCCGTTGTATGAATAAGATATGCGTTGGCTACCATGAAATTGTCTGTCGGGCCGTTGCCTGGCATATTGACTGGTGCACGTGGGTCCAGCCAGTCGCCGTACTGTGGCGATTTGGTCGAGTAAAAGCCCTTTTCATCGCGCGGTACTCCCAAGTCCAACCACAAACGCATGCTCTCCCATTGCGTCGCGAGCTGGGTCTTGTCGCCGAAAGCATTATACAGGTCCCAGGGTGTAATCACGGCGCAGTCTGCCCAGATTGCCATTGGTCTATTTTGTCGGTTGTCGGGCGGTTTGGGGATATTAGGAACAATGACTGGCACAACACCGCCAGCATCCCTTTGCTCAGCCTCGACATCACGCATCCATGATCCTAAGAAAGCGGCCGTGTCGTACAGAAAATTGGCCGTCGGTGCAAACACTTGGAGGTCTCCAGTCCAACCTAGACGCTCGTCGCGTTGTGGACAGTCTGTGGGCACTGAGACAAAGTTGCCTCGCATTGACCAGACCGTGTTGGCGTGCAGTTTATTGAGCATGGCATGAGAGGATTCGAACCCACCAGTACGACGCAGGTCCGAAGAGATGACGACGCCCGTGAAGTCATCAACGCAAACGTCATCGTAACCCGTGATCTCAGCAAATCTGAAGCCGTAGAACGTGAACCGTGTCTGGGCGTTCCTTGTAGGGCCACCGAGCTTCAGGGTGTACTGACATTTTGCAGTGCGAAGTGGCCTTGTGCCCAACTCTTCGTGCTCCATTACTTCGGCATGCCTGATGATAAGGTCTCTGTTGTCGGACATGCTGACTATTATCTTTTCGACTCGCAGCCAGCCCACAAAGTTCTGGCCGAAATCCAGTATTTTCTTCCCGCTCGGCGTCGTGATGACCATTTTCGCCTTGAGTTCCATAACTTGTCGCACTGGTGCGACTTCGGGCGCTATGAGCTCAGCTGTAGGAAACGGCAAGACATGAGCACGCCCTTTGGCTTGGGTCGTTGCCGAGGTGGTTGACCATGTCGGGTCTTCAAGATTGCTGTCGCAGAATTCGCCGTTGTACAGCTCGGAACTGATGAGCGGGCCCTCGAGATGTTCCCAGCTGGCGTCCGATGCGCAAACCACCTCCCCTTCGATTTCAACCTGACCGAGAAACCCTAGCCGATTGCCCCAGATGTTGGCGACACCGGGCCTGCCTAGTCTCGTGGCGAACCATCCCTCAGCGATGTGAGCTCCGATGACGTTGTCCCCCTCCTGCAAAAGGGATGTCACATCGTACGTCTGGTAGTGAAGACGATGCTGGTAGGACTGCCATCCTGGCGCGAGCAGATGGTCGCCTACCCGCCGGCCGTTGATCTCAACCTCATAGACGCCGTGAGCCGTGGCGTATAACCGTGCTGGTCCAGTCCCGGTGCGTCGAAAAGTCCTCCGAAGTCGAAATGGCCGTTTTGGTCCCGGGCCTGGTGGCGGACCGGAGATGAGTTGGGCAGACCAGTCGGAGCGGTACAGGAGCGCGACCTCAACACTTAAACTCGCCCATTCTGTGGATTGTCCATCGCGCCCCGTGGCGCGGACTTCAATAGATGCCCTCTCCCGCGAGGCAAGCGGAGAAGATGGCCAGGGGACGAGGATGGACTCAGGTGAAACTATATGATATGATTCGTCTTGACCGTTGCGCAATATGCGCACCTCGTAGGACGCCTGCTTCCAGTCTCTCACCGTCGTCGCGTTAAAGCGCCATGAGAGACGAGGTGTCGTGGTGAAAAGGCCGAAGCCGTCATGGTGGTGCTCGGCTATAACCTGTGCGATGGAGACAGCCATATTGTCGGTGCTTTCGAGTCTGAGCCTGCGCTTGGGTTCATGCGTCGCAAAAGGGAATGACTTTCTAAGAGCTGTACCTTGTTCCGAGTCTTTCGCTGATCATGAAGCTTCAGCGTGGGGTAATCGTAGCTTTGGTATTCTTGGAAGCATCGACAGCTTACGCCGTGGACCTCGCGCCTTGTTATCGCGAGACAACGGATTCTTGTCCGTCCACCGGATTATGGACTGAGCTGATGATTCTGGCCCTGTGTGTGAGATTCATCCGCTTTTTGCCGCTTCTCTTTTTTCAAATCCCACCAGAGTTGGCGCCATGGAGTGGTAGAGGCCCACGATGTCCCCTTGCGCTGCAACGAGAAGTGGCTTGCCGGGGCGGGAGCTCAGAGCTGAACGCAACAGAACAGCACAGCGACAGGGAGGGACTTGGCTCTGGCTGATAGATGGCGACGGATAAGTCTCCTGGGGATTTACCCCGGATTCTGGTGTCCTGGGGTTCTTCCCCGCGGTCATGGTCTGACTTTCTCTCCGCAACGGTGCCGGTTAGCCGAGAGTTTGGCTCGTGGGGTTGCCAGGACAGGAAGGGATGAGCAACGCTTTTGGATGGAACACTCGAAAAGCTGTTAGGCCACAGCTGTAGATGTCCTACGGCCGGTGGACTCGGTTGAGCTGCTAGCGAAGTGGTGATGTTCTGGGGTGCATGGTGCGGATTTTGGTAAGATGTCATGAAGGCCCTACAGGGTGATGAAAAAGGCCATTGACCCAGGGCAAGCATATTTGGAGACTGTGATTGAATTATACTCAACATCTTGGCGCATGATGTCTGCTCAGACCGACAAAATTGAAGCCGGCCCTCGTTCTGGTGGTGCCGAGCACCATGACAACGACATCGATTTGAAGCATGAGGCGGTCGTGCTCAAGTCAGACCACGACGAACTAGGCCTCTGGGCTACTGTGTGTCGGTTCAAGAAGGTAGTTTGTTCAAAAATATACAAGTGCTCTAGGCTATATTCATACTAACACGAAGAATAGGCCGTGCTCATCTGCAACTTGATTGCCATCGCAGCCGCAGCCGACGGCTATCAGTACAAGTTGAACGGAAACATCATTGCCAACAAGGGCTTCGTCAACCACATCGGCTTTCTCAATGCTGCCGGCACAAAGCACGTACTCAACGCTCAGCACACGGCGCTCTGGGGCGCCATGCAGTCTCTCGGCCAGCTCGTGGGCATGCTCTTCCTCAACCCCGTGTCGGATCGCATCGGCCGCAAGATGACCATGTACGTCCTCTGGGTCGTGCTCGCAGGTGTAAGGCCCCCTTTCACTTCTTGACGGAACCAGCATGAAAAGGGGTCTGGCACTGATCAAGGTCGCAGTCCCTCACGCTCGAGACACTGGTCCGCGACTGGCGAGACTGGTCAGGCGCCAAAATCCTCGCGGGCGTCGGCGTCGGCGCCCTGCAGTCGACGCTGCCCATCTACATTGCCGAGTGGTCGCCGTCGAACATTCGCGGGGCCATGGTCCTCACGTACAGCTTTTGGAACACGATCGGCAAGTTCCTGGCGCCGCTGACGCTCCTCATCTGCGAGAACGCCGACCCGCAGGAGTACAAGATTCCCATTGTCACGCAGTGGGGGTTCCTCGGCATCATGCTGCCCATCTTCCTCTGGCTGCCCGAGACGGCCCAGTACTATGCCGAGCGCGATCTCGACGAGAAAGGTCGAGCATCTCTCGACCGCGTCAACGGTCGAGTGCCCGGCTACGACGTCGACGCCGAGTACGCCATCATCAAGAACTCGATTCTCGAGCAGCGGCGACGCCGCCAGGAGCTGGAGCAAGACGACGGCAGCAGCAGCAGCAGAAAGGGGTGGAGGGAGCTGACCGACTCGTACGTCGCGTGCTTCCGCGGCCCGAACGCGCGGCGCACGCTGGGCTCGGCGCTGCCGGCGTGCGCGCAGCAGCTGACGGGGCTGTCGTTCCTGAGCACGTACGCGTCGCTCTTCTTCCGGCAGGCCGGCTTCGCCGACCCCTTCCTCATCACGACGGTGCTGACCGCCATCGCGCTCGTGACGTCCGTGGCCCTGATGCTGTGGACGGACCGGTTCGGGCGCCGCCTCGTCGTGTTCGCGGCGGCCTGCGTCTCGACGGCGACCATGCTCGTCGTCGCCGTCATCGGGCTCGCGCCGACGTCGACGCCGCTGCGCGGCTTCTGCATCTTCGTCGCGTGCGTGTGGTCCTTTTTCAACAACGCCCTCGGCGCGCTCGGCTGGGCGTTTGTCGGCGAGATTGCCTCGCAGAAGCTGCGCGCGCGCACGGCCGGGCTGGCGGCCGGCCTGTCAGTCGTCTTTGGCCTGACGTTCAACACGGCGCTGCCGGTCATGCTGGACACGGAGGGGGCGGACATGGGGTACCAGACGGGGTGGCTGTTCTTCGGCGTCGGGGCTGTGACGTGCGTCGTCGTGTGGTTCTTTGTGCCCGAGCCGTCGCGGCGGAACAATGCCGAGATGGACGAGATGTACGACAAGGGCGTGCCGGCTTGGAAGATGAAGGATTACGTGACTGATGTGCAGTTGGCCCAAAGGCAGGCGAGGGGACGTCGCGAGGAGGTCGCTTGAGGGGAGAGCGGACGACGATGACCTCCACAACTGGCGATGAACTGTACTCGGAGGACAACCTCAAGAACACGAGTTCGAGGAATAGAGGCGTAAACAAGGGGCAATGAGCTGTCACAGAGTTACCCCTGATCAAGTTAACGTTGCAGATCAGCCATGCAGGAGAACAGACAACACGCATGGTGTCCTCTTGATGAACTTCCCTGGTGGCAAACCGATATTTCTTGGTAGCCCGATAAAATACAACAATACGTACAGCACGGTCAGCCAGCATGCAAACACTCAGAGTACGTCGTCAAGGCTTCGTTCGTCTGAAATCAACAGACTACGTGGCAGTCTTAGGCCACAGCACCATCACCACCAGAGTCCTTTTTGTCATGACAAGTCATTGCAGTTTGCCGCCTCCTCCCCACGCCGTCGCCAGCACGCAGTCGTCCGGCAGCCCCATTCCCCCGTCGCTTCTCGTCTCCTACATCAGAAGCTGACGCAGGGCCTCCTGCTGCTCGGGCGTCAGCCTCTCGGCGATGTAGTTTGAGATCTGTCCGCCGTGCGTGTTGTTCGCCGAGTTAATGTACACGCTGACCCACGGCGCCACAGCCGTCACCTCGGGGTAGTCGTCGCGCGTGGTCGGACGGCACGTGTTGAGCGCTGTGTAGGACAGGCCGAAACCAATGTCGTCAACGTCGGCCTCGGCGATGAACTCGTCGCCGAAACCGCTTGTCACCACGGGTGGGTTGACCAGGAGCGTCAGCAGGAGACCGACGGACCGCGCCCAACCCTTCTTGAACTGCTCCGCAAACGCCTTGGACTCGCACACCGTCTTGGCAAGACTGATGACAGCGAGCTTACGGTCCACAGGGTTGGCCAGCTTCTCTGTGTCGGCGAGGATGAAGGTGGGGTACACGTTAGCAAAGAGACCCTGCGCCAGCTGATTCGTGTGCTGGACCACATAGTCGGCGCCAAAGCCCGCCTCTTGCCGCGCCGAGACCAAGTGGTAGAACCGAACAAAGCGCAGCTTGAGAGACTCGGCGGGCTGGCCCTCGAGCTTGGAGTACATGAGCTGCAGAATGTGACCAAAGTATTGGTTGAGCGCGTTCCTAGACCATGGTTAGCTCGAAACATTGCCATCAGAGGGCAAAAAATACGTACGGCTCGAACGTCTTGACGACAGACTCGATCACGTCAAAGCCGTACAGCTGGAACTTTTTGGTGCTCAGGAGACGCTGGTAGATACCCAGGACTTGCTCCAGAAGGTTCTCGGAGACGATGTAAGACTTCGTCGCCGGGATGATGGCCGAAAGCAATCTCGTACACGCAGGGACGTTACCCTTTGTGTCCCAAATGCCAGGCGCGAGCAGGGGTGCCAGGAAAGCCTTGTAATTCTCCGAAATGGCGTCTGCTGGGCTGACCTCGAGCAGTTGTGCCAGGATCTGGAAGACATACTGCTGGAATTCTGTGGAAAAGAAGTTAGCACGGTGCATCAATGGCAATGGGTGTGACTCGGTTGACTAACCCGTGACGTCCTCGACGAGGATCTGGTGGAACGGCTCCCAAAGCTGCTGGTTGAAGAGGCCAGCATTCGTGGAGGCACAGTACCTGACAAGGGCACCGAGAGCCTCGAAGTGGTAGTAGTAGAAGCGGGGGTTGCTGGGGTTGGTCTTGATAATGTTGGTGATGAGGATGAGGTGCTTCAGGACGCGCTCAGCTACGGGTGCAGCGCCATCCTTGATAACGATGAGCAGACGCATGACGCAGCGCATCAGGAACTCGTTCTCCTGAAGCTTGGGCGCCGCCGTCTCCTTCTCGATGAGTTTGAAGAGGTGGTCGAGGAGGTCCTTGGCGAAAGGCTCAATGTCCTCCCTCGGGAACACCTGCTTTCCAGAGTCCTCGGTCAAGAACAGCACGCGCTCCACAGCAATGGCTGCATATGTGTAGACGACGTAGTTGTCGGACGCCAGATTCTGGATGAGGGGGTTGAAGGCGACCTTCCACTGGTCCTTGTTGAACTGGCTGCGGAAGGTGTGGAGGTACTTGATGGCGTCAACCTTGGCGATGGGCTCCACGCTCGTGCTCGTCAGGTCGGCAGCGATGTGCTGCTCGAAGAAGTCGACAACGTTGACTAGGGGGTTGACAGTCTTGACACCCTGGGCCGCCGTGACGGCGCCCTTGGACGCAATCGAGATGAAGAGGTAGACGGCCGTGTCCTTGGCCTTCCAGTCCGACTTGCCCTGCGTAAGGTAGTGGTTGATGTACTTGCTAACCACACCAGTCACGAGCTGCTCAAACCTCTCCTGCAGCTTGCGCAGGAAGTCGGTGGCGGCGCGACGCCTCGAGTCGGTGTCGGAACCCTCCAGATCCCTGCGGATGAACTCGATGGGCTCGTCCTCGAACATCTCCATGTCCGACTCACGCAGGGCCACGTTGGGCAGGATGACCTTCTCGACAACCTGGCCCAAGACATCCTCGCTCGCAAACATGGACGAGTGTTTTGTGGTACCGGCAACGGCGGTGAGGAAGTGCAGCGCCTTGCTGACGATCTGATCGTACTTGGTCTCCAGACCAGTGGTCGAGAGGAGGTTCCAGGCACTCGTGATGAAGGGCTGGGTATAGTTGGCAAAGTCGTCGTCGTACTTGATGACGTAGAGCTGCAGGACGTCGCAAATGTCGGCCTTGACCGTGTCGACGACGCTGACCTCATCGTCGTCCTCGGTGTTGAGCAGGGGATTGGAGTAGGTCAGGTACTTGTGCAGAAGCTCGGAGAGGGAGCTGAGGTGCGTCTCGAAGATGGGAGGCATGTCGTGGGACGAGAGGTCGTAGAAGATTTTCATCATGAGGCTCAGGGCGTCAAACCAGCTCTTCAGCACATCCTTGTTCTGGGCATTGGCGTCAATCTGCTTGTCGGCGGCGATGAGGAGCTTGACAAAGGGCTCGGCAAATGTGCTGATGACATGGTTGATCTCGGTATACAAATCATCGGTCCGGAAGAGCGGTCGCCAGCGGGCAAAGATGGAGTGTGCGACTTCGAGAACACCAATGTTGACCTTGGGGTCGGTGTTGGAGAAGCGGTCAACGAGCTCCTGGGTCAGCGTGTCCCAACGCTGCCAGAAGTCCGAGTCGGCGATGATGCTGATGGTCTCGCCGAGCTGCGACTGAATGGAGGGAGGGCAAGCAATCATCAGGCCAATAAGCTGCTGTTTGATGGTCTTCACCTCGTCGGCAGGCAGCTTGTAGTCTCCCTCGGCGTTGACATAGTTGTTCCTGATAAAGTTCTTGAAAGCCAACGAGGCAGCGAGACGGGTCTTGGGAGGTAGCGCCTCGGAGGCGACAATGTTGAGAAGCTGGATGGAGTATTGCGGCTTGACCTGCTCTTGCTTGAGGGCGCTTTCGGCTGTGGGAGGCATTGTTTGTTAGCAACCAAACATTTATGGCGGGGTACTATTTTGAGAGGAGAGGGGGAGGGGGGAGCTCCCTCTGTACAAACCCTTCTTGTGCTGAGAGGGATCGAGAGTGGCATCGAGTAGTTGGGCAATGGTGCCCATATCCGCAGCCATCTTGACGGTGATGCACGGCGTTTCCTGAAGAGGTGATGGGGGGGGGGAGGAGGATTTGTGTGGGATCTTGCTCGTCCTCAAGATTTGTTTGGGTCCACGATGAATGGGTTGCTGTGGGGGATGAAGCTTCAGCGGGACATATGCAATAAGGCAAGGTCAGGTAAGGTACCTTACCTTAGGTGGTAGGTAGGCAGACAGAGAGAGAGAGTGGGATAAAATCACGGGAGCATCGGTTTAGGTAAGGCGGCAGGGGCGTGCGTGGGCCAGAGCGGGAGCCGGCCTCGGGACGCTTGGGCCTCTACTACCTTGGTGCCTTAGATAAGGTACCTTCAGCCTGTTCATTCAGGGCCCCTCCCCAAGCTATAGTGCAAGGTACCTATCATATCTCACTGCAAGTCGTTTTTAGGGGGTCAATATCACTGGAAACCATACCTGGACACGGTGGCTGCCGGCTCGCTTGGGTCCGGTTCGAGCCTCTGACCTCCCTTACCTTAGGTACCGTACCTACCTAGGCACCTACCTAGCCTGCCTACCTAGGCACCTACCTAGCCTGCCTAGGTAGGTATGTAAGGCCGCCTGGGAAAGCTTCAACGCCATCTGCTCTGCCGCGCCCTCTGTTTTACTCAAGAGACACGTTTGTGAAATCTCTTCTTGTCTCTCTCTTCTCTTCTTTTCCCACGTATCTGAAACAATCCGGCAACATGGCGAAAGCTGAGCACCCCATTCCTCCACCGGGACTTCGTCATTGGCCGGAAGCTGGAAGAACAATGGTGCGAGACAGCGGGGATCAGCTGCCCACGCCACAGCCAATCGCCGTCGTCCAAAGCTCACCACCTGCTGTGCGTCTGGTGGTCCATGCAGGTACTTCCGGTACTTCCCAGCAGCATTGCATCTTTCGATATCTGGATCTGGGCCCCTGACCTGCCTGCCGCATTCGACAGTCGGGATCGTCCGTCATTTCTCGTCATTCTCTTACCTTGATTCCTGATCAGTGATCACTGACCAAGGATCACCACGCAGCCCTGACGATTTCTTCAACCCCCCCTCCAGCCGCCCTATGCGATACCTAGCTATGCGCCGCCCGTCTCCCATCGCTTGGTGATATCACGACTTGAACCCCGGCGCGGCCCTCCATTCGCTCCAGACGAGGCCGGAGCAGCCACAGTTCCTGCAGAGGCAGAGCCTGCTCAGTCGACTCAACTTGGCACGACTCGTCTCGCCTTGCGGCCCCAGCTTGGAGCAACTCCCCCCCTCCCCCCCCCCCCCGCGAGGTCATTTCTCCGGGGGCGGAGCCCCTCCTCGACGACCGACGACACGAGCTAGCTACCGATCGATCATCATCACTCTCTCGACACTCTCTTTATTGCCTGACAACCGTCGACCGATTCCCACCTTGATGCGCCTACTAGTAGGTTGCCCGTGAGTGTGCCCCCAAGCTCCTCTAGCCTGTGACTCTCGACCTTGGCACCCACATACGACCTCTCCCCCCTCCAAAGGCTGCACATCATCGTGACGCCTGGCGGACCTTGAATTTCCTGAGCAATATGCCATTTTCGTCTTTGCCAACCCCATAAATCCGATCCATTTCCCTCCGAACACACTGGCACGACAGCTCTGTCCTTCGGCGCAGACGCAACAGCCGCCCTCGAGCTCGCAGCCGAAACAGTCACTGACGTATTGCGCGCCCCCCCGTTAGCACACCGAGGCCCGCCCGAATCCGATAACCCAGACGAGCCTATGTCCCGCTCGCCAGGAGATGTCGCATCCTCGCCAGACTCGAGCCGCGCCGGAGGCCTCGCCAACGTCTTCAAGGGCTTGACCGGTGCCAAGTTGACCAAGTCCCCGCCTCCCATCGCCCAGTCCATCTTCCCTCCCGTCATCTCGCCCATGGTCGACCGCCCGACCGGAGCCACCCCCGTGGCCGCTGATGTCCTGTCCAGAAACCACATGGAGGCCTTTGAGCAGCTCAAGAATGGTTCGCCGAACGAGCGTGTCGCCGCAGCCGATTCCCTTCGATATGCCATCTCCGAATACCCACTCAGCCCTGTCCTGGATATCTGGTACGCTGCGAAAGACCTGATCGATGCAGGAAAGGCTAGCGCGGCTCGTATCGCAGGTTGGGAACTGCTCGCCGAATGTGTCAAGCACAAATCATCCACCGACCTCGAGCGGAAAGAGTTCTTCCAGACCCTTACGGCGCCCGCCAACCCAGAGGACTTTCATCTCCAGCTCGCATCACTTGTTGACCTGACGAACCACGGCCGCGACCTCTCTGGATTCGACTATGACGTTATTCCGCTACTTCGAAAATGGCTGCGCGAGGCGTACCAAGCTGTTAAGGTGGCGAGGAAGCACGCGAGCCGTGACGCCAAGAGAAATCCGAAACTGAGAGTCTCTGTAGCGGGCGAAGAGAAGAACCTACAGCAACTCTTCACGTTTATCGTCGAGGTCACCAAATTCAGTTCCAATGTCGCTGACGAGACTGCGCTTGCCGGCTTGGTCAATGCTCTTGTCGCCATATGCTTGAACACGATCGTCGAAGACGATCTGCGTGCATGCATTGGCGTCATCGATGCCATCGTCACCTTTGGGTCCTTGCCCAGCGGCAGCTTCAGGGAATGTGTCCTGGTTCTTGGTTCCATCTTCTGCCTAGTGCCCAATCTCCACAAACCTGCTTGGCACACTTTGTCGATCATTCTCAAGTCGCACAATGGCCACGCCACAGTGAGGGTGCTGTTGGACCTTCTTCGCGACCTGCCAGCGGACGGCAACAGCAAGGGCAAGGACACTAGAGACATTCGCGGCGCCTTGGCTGTCCTAGAGAAGCTCGTGGCGAAGAGTACCGAGAAGGGGTACCCCACTGTCCCCTTCACCCTCCTCATGAACGGTCTCGTGGCTACAGTTCAGTGCACGCCGTCGGCCCGGGTTCACTGTGCCGTTCTCAAGCTCCTCAACTCGCTCTTCAGCGACAGTGACGGCAAGCTTCACCATATGATCGCTGAGGAGAACTGGACGACGGCACTCAGCATTGCCACAGAGTGTTCCAAGAAAGCAACTCAGGCCACTTCAGGTGACAACGACGCCACCAAGACTGAGACTGACTCTGACCGACCTTATGAAGCTATTCGTCGTGAATTGCTGCGCATGATTGCTCGTCTCGAAAGTCTGATGACGAGCAAAAATGGCAGCTTCGTCCCTCGACCCGTCGTCATACAGTTTTTCATGGACGTCCACACTCTGATCCCTGACTCTACTGCCGTCGTTGTGCTTGACTACTTCCAGGAATTCAGATGTTGCTCTCCATCAGATCTGGAGTGGGAAGACAATCTGGCTTTGGTTCGTCAAGGCTTCTTTGGCAATAGGCAGCGCTCTTCGCATGTCCGACTCCTGGCCCTTCGTTCCATCACGGATGCATACGAGATGATGGACCTCGTTGGCGAGGAGATGGAAGAGGACTGCATTGCCACTCTAGTGAAGGATCTTCTCAGCGACGTCTCAGCCGAGACAGACGTTGCCGTTTTGGACGCCCTCATTTCGCTCATGGTCGATGTCGCCATTGCGTCTGACCAGGAGCTCTTCAACTTCATTACCAGCACTCTCAAGAGCCTTGTCGTCAGCGACAGACTGGAGCCGCCCGCCTCGCAATTACTTTCGCCTGGCGCTCCGCCGACCTTGGAGCGATCTCCATTCGAGTCAGAATCGTCAAAGTCGGATATTGTTACCCAAGGTTTCGTCCGGCTCTTTATGCGCTGCATGAATGCGAACGGACTCAAATCAGCAAAGCTCTTCGATATCTTGGTCAGCATCGCTCGAGGGAGCCACAACCAAATCGACGCTCGGCTCACAGCAATGAAGCTCCTCTTCAGACTCAGAGCTGACTGGGCCAGCTCCATCTTCCTCACAGTCGAGACGGAAGCAGAAGGCCTCGCAGCCTCTCTATACCGTACTGAAGCATCGCTTGCTCGAAAGCAGGCTGGTGACGCCACCTTGTCAGCGCGAGCGTCGAGGGCCGAACATGGTGGCCCTGTGAGATCGGCCAGAGCTATATCGTTCAGTCATGCCGGCACCCAGGATCGATCATATCCCATCCGATCCGTCAGCGGTGCGAACAAGACCGTGCCGCGGCAAAAGCACTTGTGGTCACTACCTGACCAAGACGCACTTCCAGAGAAGCCGTCTACAATCGCGAGCTCTGTCCTGGTGTCTTACTCGGAAAAGGTTTCACACTATCTGTCCAATTCGGAGGAGCCCAAGGCCGAAGAGGACAACATGCATCAGGTGGCTCTCAACGTGACAGCATGGTTGGATACCATCAACACCATTTTCGAGAACGGCTGTGACTGGGAGGTTTTCAGCATGATACTGGTGCACCTGCCCTCACAGCTTAGCAACCATGCCATGTTCCGCGGGGCACTGAACGAGATGCAAAGGCTTCGCCGTGTCGTGTGCGAGCAGATTCGATTGAATGCTTTTCAGGAGCCCCCCATATACACGGGTCTCCGACGGGCTGATGTTGCCATCTGTCTGTTCCACAGCTTGACCATGATTCTGAGCTACCATGAACACTTCCTTAAAGACCAAGAAGACGAAATCGTGCGAGCCTTTGTGCACGGCATTTCGACATGGGAGAGGTGCGCGAAGTATTGCATACATGCTCTGTCCATTTGCTGTCATGAACTGCCACTTTCGACGAGTAAGTGTTTAGTGCAGATGCTCCAAAAGATGGCCCAGATCATCACGCAACCACACGTCGCCATGCACATCCTCGAGTTCCTGGCCGGTCTCAGTCGGCTGCCGGCCTTGTACGTCAACTTCAGGGAGGAAGAGTATCGCATCGTGTTCGGAATTTGCATTCGGTACCTGCAGTACATCCGCGACAAACAGCAAAATCACCGAGCCCTTGAGCTGTCACCAACCACCGTTGATGGCAACTCTGCATCAACGGACGACCTGCCGCAGTACGTGTACTCGCTAGCACACCACGTCATCACTTTTTGGTTCCTGGCGTTGAGGCTCCCGGATCGTTCCAATCACGTGGGTTGGATCGCCAAGAACCTCTTCGCAAACGTCGAGAGCGGGCAGGGCCTTGAAGAGCAAGCCATGGTCACGATCGATTTCATGCAGCGGGTTGCGTATGCGGACGCAAACGAGTCATCGTGCGACCCTCTCTTCACCAAGGAGAGGTTCGGAGAGATATTGACGCGGAGGTGGCTGATAGGAAACAGCATCGTCACAATTGAGCAGGCCACAGCCACCGGTTGGGCCCAGATCACTAAGAGGCAGCCCTCAGGCACGTCGTCTTACATTGTCAGGGAAAACTTCCGACCGCCACCCGCTCACCAGACAATGCAAGGAACCGAAGTGGTTCGGGCCAGCGACCACAGTAACAATGTGCTGCCCAGTCATCTGATGGTCCAACTCATGACATCCATTCCACAGACTTCCGAGTCGCTACGGCCCATTCCACTACCCGACGATGACGCCGTACAGAGAGCTATCAGAGTTTTCGACCGCAACTCAACGGTTGACGGCCACAAGGTGGGTGTGATTTACATTGGCGAGGGCCAGACGGATGAAGTCGAGATTCTCTCCAACGTATCTGGCAGTAGCGACTATGTTGAATTCTTGAACGGTCTGGGGACCCTCACAAAGCTGAAGGGATCGACGTTCAACACCCAGGGCCTTGATCGAGAGTACGATTCGGACGGCCAGTACACGTTCTGCTGGCGGGATCGCGTCACGGAGATGGTCTTTCATGTCATCACACAGATGCCGACGAACCTCGATCGTGATCCGCAATGCATTTTCAAGAAGCGTCACATTGGAAATGACTTTGTCAACATCATTTTCAACGATTCAGGCCACCCTTTCCGTTTTGACACGTTCCCAAGCGAATTCAACTACGTCAACATAGTCATTACGCCCGAGTCTCGCGCCTCTTTCATTGCGAGTCGTGAGGCGCCGCCTGCGGACAAGCAGCAATTCATGCCGTTTTACAAGGTCCAGCTGATGAGCAAGCCTGGGTTCCCGACCATTTCTCCCGCGTCGGAGACCAAGATGGTATCCCTGAAGGCGTTGCCAGGCTTCATTCGCCTCCTCGCACTCAACGCGTCCGTATTCTCCCTGGTCTGGGCCAATCGTGAAGGTGGCGACACAGTCAGCTCGTGGCGGAACCGCCTCCGCGAGATCAAGCGACTTCGAGAAAAGCATGGCTACACACCGGCTACGCCGACGAACCACCAAATCACATTCGGCCAGTCGCCCTTTGGACAGCCACAAGCAGGCGGCTCCACGCCCTCGCCGCCAACCACATCTCTCGGCGGAGGGCACCACGGCGGCAGCCTCACGGCCGCCACCCACTCCCAGGCGGCTGCTGCCGATCTCTCCAGACCGGCCAGCAGCGTGCGAGACAGTTTCGGCAGCAGCCTGCGCCGATCCTCGGTCGCGACCTTCTTCACAAGCACGAGCGAGCAGACATCGCATCGCAGCTCCATGCTATCAACGACGACAACGACAAACGACACGGAGATTTCGCCAAGCACCGGCCTCGACTCCCTCGTCGAGTCGGTCGATTTCTCCCGGTGGGCTTAACATGCTCGTCGGTACCAGCCGGCGCAGTCCACCCTTGTATCATGACCGAACTCTCATCAGCATACGCCGTGCTTCTCCTCGCAAGGTCTCTGACGGCCGACTTTTCAGGCTCTAGTGCACGCGTGATGAGGGCAGGGCAACGGGAGTCTTTTATTTACAGCAAACGCCAAAGGCAGGACATGGGAAGGGGAACGGGCAAGGGAAAGGGAACAGAAGGGGGTTGGGCGCAGGGTTTGCGATCACATGCGGATACCAAAAAGTTTTTGTTGCTGTTGTTGTTGTTGTGTTGTTCACGTTGTTGTTTTCCATATAGCACTATTGATTTAACTCTTGTTTTTATTGACTTCGTTTTCCATCTTTCCTCTCCGGCCTGTGGGGTTTTCGTCTGCCTTTCCGATTAGACAGTCAATTTTGCCGCAATGGCTACGGTACATTCTTCTTTACCTGTTTTCATTTGTGTTTGTGAATCGCGCGTGGCTAAGCTGCCCACACTGACGAGCTGGACATGGGCTGTTCGTAAAACCTCAGGTCATGCCTTTATGCATGCCCATCGTATATGTTGCCCAGCGCCGGAAGCCTTTTGTGGCTGTGGTCAGTTGCCGCCATCTGCCATGAGAGAGGACAAAAACGAAAGGGGGGAAGGAGACTTGCCTAGTTTTTGCATACTCTCGTCGCCGCCTCGCAGACCGTCCACGTACATGTGCTTCATCCCCCTCTGCGCCAGACGGTCCATGCACGCACCCATCAGACTGACCAACAAGACGGTATCGACGCCGCTCGTGGCTTCAGGTGGCCCATCTGCGCTCTTCCGCCGGGTCGTCGGGTGTGATGCGGAGACCGGAGAAGAGCGGCCCTTCTCACTCGTGACGCACACGCACGTCAGACCTCCCACGTCCTCGCCGAGCGTCCTGGCCCACGGCACGTCGCCGGCGGCAGGACTGCCGTCGCGCGGAACGTAGAGGACCGCCGCGGCGACGACGTCGCGTCCTTGGTACCCGACCATGACGTCTTCGACGTGCGTCGTGCCCTCGAGTCGCGAGAACTGCTCGCCGTAGCCGGACCGCTTGCCTTGGCGGATGCCGCCATCACCCTGCTCCGCAAAGGCCACCACACGGCCCAGGTCCCCCTCGTCGCAGGGCCGGAAGTCGAGACCGGGAACTACTGGCGAGGAATGTGGTGGTGCCCCGTCGAAAGATACGGTCCAGTCCGAAACTTCACTGGCGGGCCCGCTGTCGCGCCATCCGCGCTCGGCGAACCAATCCTTGCTGCCGGCATCAATAGGCACGCCGGCGAGGAGTCGCGGGAAGGCAGAGCCCAGTAGCAGGGCCTCCACACCTGGCGTCCGGCGCAGTTGGGCGAGTGCCACGTCGTGCAGGGCGGTGCCGATACCGCGACGACGATGGTCCGGGTGGACGAGGAGCAGGGCCAGGGAGCCGAGGAGGTTTGAGGTCAAGGTGGAAGGGTAGGTGGTGTAGGTCGCGCAAAAGGCTATCAGGGCGTCTGAGTGGGGATCACGGACCGTCAAGTGCATGGCGTAGCCATCGCGGCGCAGGAGGGGCGCCAGAACATGTTGAGGGAGATGGAAGCAGGCGGGCAAGCAGGCGCGCCAGAGGGACGTTATGGCAGGGAGGTCACGGTTCGGGGACCAGAACTGGATGGGCACTTTGGGTAAGGCTTGTGGCGGGCTTAGAGAGGCGTGTGATCGGAAGAGAAAGCTGGCAGCTTCGATAAGTGACGGAGGTGAGAGAGATGTTGCTTGAATGACGGTTGGAAAAGATTCGGCCTGAAGGTTGTGAGCGCAAAAGTCACAACAGGCGAGTATAATCTGGGGTCGGTCATCGCCAATCCGGAAGGCTGTAGCGGCCAGGCTAGCCTGCGAGGGCCCTTTGGCCGAAGGAGGGCCTGTAATGACGAAGATGATGGCTTTGCATCTTTCGATGAAGACTTTGTGGGCATCCGTTATGCCGCCGTTCTTGGTGTATGGAACATGCCGCACGAGAGGATGTTGGGTGGCTATAGCCCGGCCTAGGGGTTCGAAGGGATCCTGGGATGGGGGCGTTTCACCCGGCGGCTCAATGACGGGTGTTAAGAGAAGGATGAGATCCTCTTCAGCCAAATGGTTGGCAAGAGGCAGATACTCTAGGTGATCCCAGAGGAGAGTGGTCGTCGGGTTTACCATGGCCGCTGATGGGTTGGAGGCGTGTTAGGGTGAGGCACCTACCCCAGCCTTTTCCGATTACTTGTCCAGTTGGCTACCTTGGCAAGGTAGTGCGGGAAGACGAACTTCAGACGAGGTTGACGAATGAAAGGAGAAATGGACAGTGGTTGTACCAATCAACTGGCGGCGGAGTGATTCTCGAGCGAGGAGAAGTTGATCCCTGTAGTTCGAAAAGGGCTTCAGAGGGTTGGCCTGTCGGATGCAATGAGTGTCGGTCAGGTTTTAGTGCTTTCTCTTGGGCATATGGCTCAAGAAATTGAAAACATTATTGATAATTCCTGCGTTTCTGAGCGCTTCTCACAGCAGACCATCGTGTCAATCTAGTGACAGACTTGAACGGGAAAACTAGAGAGAGAGAGAGAGAGAGAGAGAGAGAGAGAGAAAGGAGAGATCCTCTGTCAGTTGTCTGAGCCCGGCAACGAGTTACTGGGACACGCTGCGAAACAACTTCTCAATCTTGGCGAGATGGCGGCGTCTTAATACTTCAGGTGTTCGGGTTACACAGATTACAGGACGCCTTACAGTCCCCAAGACCGAACAGTCCCCAAGACCGAACAGTCCCCAAGACCGAAGTGTAGTAGTAAGTCATCAATCCGCAGCGGAAGCTGCTCATATCAGCGTGACTAGTGGCAACAAATGAGTGCGGGGGGGCAAATGGACAATCCCGGTTGAAGGAACACAGCGTGGGACTTATGCAAGACGACGCAGAGAGAGGCGAATCGACCCTGGTAATATGATGGGCAAGTCTAGGCCACCCATCGATAAGCGAGTAGGCGTAATCAGTGTCAAGGACTATTGGTAGGTTGACAATGCTGGCGTTCGGGTTGCTTCGAACAAGATTGGAGCAGGGTCAGTTTCGGGTTTCTTGTTGACGAAATTGCGCTGTCATCCCGCAGGAGCGGAGCATGCATGTGAAGGAGGCCAGTATGTATGTGAACGAAGTAGAAGTAGAGGCGAACGATAATGCGCGAAGGACAGAGAAGAGATCAGGTGCTGGGAGCCACCCTGGCTCGACCGCAGTGTGAATAACACACGCTTGGCTTGCTATTAGTGATGTACCAATGGTAAAGGTCGTACAAGCGGGCATCTCGTGATGGAGAGTTGGTGTGGAGGTTTAACGAATCGCGCGGGGACGATGACTGAGAGACATCTTGGGTTATCGGATGCGTCGCAGACCCTGGCCAGGCTGTGTTGTCAGCAAAGGAGAGGAGCGCCGAATCGCGATGCCATCCAGGAGGAATTGATGATCATCTGGTGCTCGAGCTACTTGATCATGGTGATTATGAAGACAATCCAGGTGATGACCAACAATCGCATCTCGCTACTCTTCTCCATACCGGTGTGCGCAACCCGGCAGATGACCGGAGATGCAAAAATACTTCTCACCGAGTACTGTACGCTTGTTGTACTGCCAAGGTCGCACAACAGGCGCCAGCCTTCGTGGATGGATGGGTTTGGTCAATCATTGCCTCTAGGGAACTTTTCCGTCTCAACCGGCAGAGCATGATGTGTGCAGCCTTCGGACATTTGTAGACAAGCCCAAGAGCAGGATAGCTATCGGAGAATGGAGGATGTGAGGCGATGTGGTAGAGGACGGCTGTTCCGCATGCTGTACACGTTGTTGGGACTCGAGGGCTTGGTGATGGAGGATTCCATGTCGCCTCGACTCGGATCGACAAGGCTAGACTTGGACTCATGTCATTGCGGGTGCCTGGCCGCCTGTTGACTGACTCGAGATCTTATGTCAGCATTGACCGCCGTCGCCCAATTTTCGGTAAGTCGGTGGATTTGACCCGGTCAGCCCCTCCTCCCTCGGTCAGCCTGGGCTAGTGCGCTTTGTGGCCCGTGCATCGGTAAGGGTCCCATCCCACACAATCAATCATTTCACCCAAAAAATCATCCATTGTATCGAAACCTCTCCGACGACCCATCCGCGACAATCGAAAATACCCTCCAAACCCCCCCCCCGGCAACCCGTCAACACCGTCAAAATGCCTCAGGAAATCGCGGACATCAAGCAGGTACGCTCATTCGAACCGCCGCAACCAATTTGCCTCGGATTGCTCGCTAATTTCTGTATTTCTAGTTCATCGAGATCTGCCGCCGGAAGGACGCTTCTTGTAAATAGCCCCTCCCCCTTCGGCTCTTCGCTCTTCGCTCTTCGCCCCCAAGACCGAAAAAAAAACGACCACCAGTCCTTCGAGAGAATAGCCCACTGACCAAGTTTGAAAACGAAACAGCCGCCCGGATCAAGAAGAACACCAAGACCCAGCAGACCAAGTTCAAGGTCCGCTGCCAACGCTTCCTCTACACCCTCGTCCTCAAGGACACCGACAAGGCCGAGAAGCTCAAGCAGTCCCTGCCTCCTTGTACGTCCTGAACAGCACCACGCCCGCCCATGCTCCTCTGCCGCATTCGTGCCCCGACGATCGCGCGCAGGGAGCACCACTCCACCCACCCACGAACCACGGAGAACGAGGGAATAAAACTAACACCACCACAGCTCTGACGATCCAGGAGGTCGGCAAGAAGAACAAGTCCAAGTCCTCTTAAGCGCTTCAAATTCTTTTTTTAACGGGGATGAACCACCGGGAAAGAGGGAGAAATCCGATCATGGGACACATGGCGAAAACGGCGAGCTGGTGAAATGGCAGACACAAAGGTGACACCGGGGGCGAGGAAATGCCGGATGGAAGGGTCTGACGGACAAACAAATCGATTCTGATACGGTATGGGCGTCGGGGGGAATACCTTCACGGCGGTTATGACATGCTCGGACTACGGCTGTCCATGTAGCAAGACATGCGCCAATTGACCAAACGAAATTCAAGCCATGCTCGGCCTCTTTTTTTCCTGGACTTTTTTTTTCCTTGTTCTATTGGCAACAAGTTGCGACAGACCAATATCGTGGGGAAGATGTCTATCTCTTTATCTTGCGATCGTTGTTCTTGACATGCCCCCACCCCACGCATCAGCATCGGACACGCTCACGCTTGAAGTTTAGATGATCCTCTGGTAGTGCCGAATGTCCGCCGACGAAACGAGCTTCTGCAAAGCCTGGAACGCGGCGTACCGTGGGTGCTGCCCAGAGGACATGTGCTCATCCACCGACGCCCACCCGCAGTACATGACAAACTCATCCCGCCCCGCCTCTCTCTCATCCTTCTCGATCCGCCACGCACCTCGCAGAGGATACGGACGTGCGACGTCTTCGACGACATCCTTCGTTTCGTCAAATGTCCGTTGGAACTCGTCTCTCTTCTCGTTCCCGACGCTAAATCGCCCGACGCTCATGACCGGCGCCTCGAGGAGCGATCTCTCGTCCGGCCTCAGACTCGTGAAAACGGGGCCCTCGAGGTGGAAGAAGACGACAGCCCTCTCGCCCTGCGTATCAAGATGGGGGCTGAGATCAGCCATTACGGACGCGTTCTCAGCCGAGGCAATCCACCTGCTGTGAGCCTCGGGGGACTCCCACTGCGCTGTGAGCAGGAGAACCGTCGGGTCCTCGAGCTGGCGGTACATGGACGTGCCACGTGCCGTACGGTCTGCAGGTAGAGAGGGGTCGTCCTTCAACACCCATGCGTCTCGGGTGGCCTGGAACCTTTCCAGCAGGGCCAAAAACTCAGAGCTGAGCTCGTTCTTCGCTGTGAGGGGGAGGATTGCCAGCTCGGAAACGACCATGGCGGCAGACCGGGCGAGACGTCTTTCTGTGGTGTCTGTGTGTTTGTGTTTGCCTGTCACCTGAACGCTTTTCTGCAAGGGCGGCGAGACATGAACATTCGCAACATGTTCGATCGTAAAGTGATCACTCTAGCTCAATTTACCTCGCATCGCAACTCAACTATGACGTTGACAAAGCTGCCTCCACTCGTCTCCATCAGCATGGCACCGGGCAGAGGACCATCCACAAGCGCGGCCCCAAATTCCAAACCTCCCAAAGCCCCTCGGCTCTTCGTGCCGCCGGTATCCGTCTTCTCTCAATATCGGCCACTGAGTACAGGCCATGCGGACAACATGCCGCCCACAGGCCGACGGCATTCCTCGCCTTCTTCAACTCGCAAGAAACCGCGAGACAGCGACATGCCACCCGTACCCAGCAATGCGCCACACCTGCAGCGCCGCTCCGGCGAGCGAGAGATGTCACAAAGGGTGCTTCGTCAGTCGAGACCGCGAGCTTCATGCCTTCTCGCGGGTGGTTCGCTGCACGTGATGAGCGTCGATGTGGCGGAGACTAGTCATTACGATCTTTGAATCCGGCCAGATGACTGATATAACTGAGGATCATACGCCGCGATTCGGACCTACACCCAAAACAACCGCGCACGCGAAAACGCGCCGCATGGGCTCGTTCCAGTGCGCCTCCGCGTGCGGCCTTCGCTCGGACAATTCCCTCCTTCTCCATGCGTAACGACATAGCTTCGAGGCCAGATTACCACCAACGCTCGAAAGGAGTGCTCGGGGGTTGTGGAGGGACAACATTTTGGGGCGGGACCAGCCCTCCCCACTAGACCGCCCCTCTTCTTTGCTTTTGCTGCCGAAAACCCATCGGCGTGTGCGAAGAAGAGGGGAGACATGCAGCGGAAGCTGCTGCAGCCGAAGCGGGCAAGTGAGGAGGGCGCAGCGTGGGCTGCCAAGGATCGTTCCCATGCTGCCACCGTCGAGGAAGATGGCTTGACAGAGTTGCTGTGCTTGACAGCCATCAGCGCTGCCGGTTCGTCTGGAGGGCCTGGCTGAGCGCTGCCTTTTTGGCATTATGCTTCTTTTTCCATGGATAGTGGCTTGCCTGCCTGCCTACCTACGGCACCGGGCTGGATTGGACGACAGTCATGATTTGATCTGCAGTCTGTTTTTCAAATCGTGTCCAACACGCTGAGAGGTAGGCCTTTCATGTCTGTCTGTCTACAATCTTGATCCCCCTTGTTTTCTCCCCCTAGAAGGGTATCGCATACGCTTTATACAGCTCTCACCTCGAGCCAAGGAGAAGTACAGGAAAACCAATAGAATACAGAACACGCTTGAGGAACCCAGTGAAACGAAAATCCCCATATCAAAATGCTTCAGCCCGATACCTCTCAGAGGAGTCGCTTGAAAAAGCTGGAAACCTGCGAGGCCAGAGTCATCTGTGAATCTCCAGAAATATCAGTCCGTTCCGTCTCGCTTGATTTCCTCCTGGACTGCATCTCTGCCACAAACTTGGGCCATGTGTTTGTCAGAACAAGGTATTTGATGTGCGCCTGCGCAGCGTCAAAGACAGCCGGGCTAAAGGCAGCAGGAATCTCGCCCGTGTACTGCGTTTCAGTGAGCAGGTGATCCTTGGAGTCGCCCTGTCCACGACTACCATGGGATGATGAAGGAAAGTCGAAAGGAGTGGCGGGGTTGACCACCGCCTCGCCGAGTACTGTGCGTGTAGATGTTTCAAAGATCTCTTCGAGCTGTTTGAGCTGCTGGGAAGGGAGGTTGAGAGGGAACTCGGCATCATGCATGCTGATGAAGTCAACGTAGATATCCATGGCACGGTTGTAACAGATGAGGTTGTTTTCTTCCGTCACTGCATGCGTCAATGTCGACTTCCAGCGTGTCACACGGGTGAGGAACGCAATGTTCTCGCCGGAGAAGTCGCTGAGAGCAGAAAATTCCTGGAGTGGTTCCGGGTTCTCGTTAAGAACATAGTCGAGAGCAGCCATGGTCAGGAGACGGTTGCCAAGCTCCTCATCCAAGTAATCAAAACTTGAAGCCTTTTCGGCGAGGCTGATGTTCGAGTTCTTTCCCTCGATAGACGTGGACGTTCGGAGGGTCGTTGTTTGCGAGCATGTCTCCCACTTGGCGTTGAGCTTGGCAGATTTCTTGACCATGCGACGCTGCTGAACAACCTGAATGGCAGGAATGATGATCGTGAAGATTTCGAAAAACATGATTGAAAGGTGAATCCTGCGGTCATTAGCACTGAGAACTGGTCGAGGCGTGATGAGGTCGAACAACTCACCATTGGCTTGGAGGGTAATAGGGGTTGATGACCTGAAAGGCAGGCACGTAGCAAGCAATCATGAACATGGGTGTTGCGTGAAGACTAGACAGGTCAGCAGCTGGAAGCTCCATCACGAACACAAGATGCCTACCTTGAGAGACAGCAGCCGACAGTTTGGAAACGCCAACCCATGGTGTCACGAATCCCCCAGGCTCGGTAGAGAAGAATAGGGGCAACCTGTGCATCGAGGCGTCAGCTTCAGTCTTTACTTTGGTGAAGCATTCGTGTTCTCACAATCCAAGTCCAGATGACCTGCCAGAAAACAGAGGGCCACCACTCCCATCCTTGGCTAAGATCAATCATCTGCTCCATGAGGTTGTCGCCCCGGATTTCGGTGCCGGGAATGCCCCAGGAAGGGTGGTACTTCCTGCAAGCCAACCACATGCCGGTCGTCAGGAGGATCTAAGGCGTGTCAGTGAAAAGCACAACCAGTCAGGGTGATATGCCTACCTGTAGAACGATGCCGAATCCGATGGGCAGCATAATCTTTTTGGTGTAGCTCATGTTCCTGGATCTGCAGATCCATGAGCTGTCGGCGCCATTGCAGCCGCTCTTACTTCGGAGCTCAGGCTGCATGTACTGCTTCTGTAGCTTGGCCACGTGAAGGAAGCGGCTGTTGGAAGCATGGAACAGAGCAACACCAAGTGGAAACCAGATACCCATGAAAAAGTACTGGATGCTGTAGGCGAGGATGACTGGCATGGTGCCGCCAATGGGATACACAACTTGGGCCAGAAACCAGTAACAATGGAGAAAGAAGATGGCGCCAAACGACAAGCCCACTCCGCGGTGCCTGAGAACGGGGTTGGTCCTATTGAGCCAGCCAAATGCCATCAGGGAGAAGACTATGGTCGTCCATGTCAAACCAAAGGTGACATAGAAGATGCCAATGTGATCCCACCGCGGCGGAGCTGGCGGGAGATTGTAGACGGTGAGGCCAGCCATGGGATCCATGATGAATTGTCCGTCGTCTTCTGACAGTTTGCTGACGAGCGAAGGTCGAGGGAGGGAGCTGTCGACGACGGAATGGAATGAAGGCAGGAGGAGTGCCGTCTGCAGTGGTTAAATGGAACGTCTGGCTCGTTGCTGTCTCAAAGCAGCGTGCCAGACTGTGAGGTGGGGCACACCAGGAAAGCAGGGTCTCGAGGCGTGTGGCTTCGACACTGCTGTCTTGTCTTTCCTTCTGTTCATCTCAACTCACTCTACATCGGACCGAAGACTAGGACGCGGGTTTGGCCACATTGGGACGGACAGGAGGAGCCAAGTAGTTCGGTGGTGTCGGATTTCTCCCTCAGGATCATCGATTCTAGCATCTGATCTCACGGTGGCGGACCTTGCTTTTCGAGCGGTCCAGTCCTAGGCGTTTTGCCGAAAAAGCAACTCGACAGCGAGGACAAACTGCCTGCCAATGATTATGGCGAGGAGCGTTTCGAGTTCGGTGCTGCCAAGAAGACTTGTAAGACATTGCGCTTGTTTGCCAGCGTGGAGTGAACGAAGTTTTTGGGTATCCAGTAACCTGGTCGTGCCATCCGATGACAACGGGGTATACCCGCGTGAGCGTGCCGCGTCGTGGGGCTGTTTGTTATGCAGTGCCGATCGCTTCTTGCTCGATCATGGATCGTGGCCTATGTTTGACTTTTGCATCGGATCGGCAATCCAAAGTTCGTTTGCTGTCTGTGCCTGGGATGCCAGGACGCCCAGTACGATGACGACGTTTCGATGGGGAAATGCGAAACCCTTACGTAGACGACGATGGGAGGGAGTTGATGGCAAGGAGATCGTGAGATTGGAGACTCAGACGCGAGACATGAGGTGGAGAGAGCAGTTTTCGCATGAACTGGCCTTTCGCGCTTGAGAAATAGTGTTGCCCAGGACTCAAGACAAGGGAGCAAGCCGTTGTGCGAGCCAGACGTAGATCAGTTTCTCGGCGGGCTCAGTATCGATAGTTTCTTTGGGACTGAACTCGGAGTCCAGGCAGCCGGAATTGCGGACAACTGCGGAGATCCAAACAAATAACAAGACTTTTTTTTTTTTTTTTTTCACGGCTTGACCATGAACGAAGACATCGTGATGGTGTGTACAGATGGTGATGGTCATGCCAAGCCTGACCTGCTTCCCTAGGTGAAGTGCTTTGACCTTTGATCGTGATGGCAGCTGAACGAGGACGGCTATTTTCTCTACCCTAGTCGGGCAGAGCGAATAGCCTACAAGGGTAGAGAAAACAGCCGTCCTCCAGCTGAACATGCAACTCGAGGCTTAAGGTTTGTGGAGTGTCAGGGGCCGTTGAGTGGCAGCTTTGCTAACAAGGTGCTGGCTGGAAGGTGCCTCGCACCTGCGTCTTGCTCAACATGGCATTGGGCGCATGTCGCATCCATGATTACTATCGAGAGAAGGTGCATTCAGCCCTCGCCCCTGCCTTCTTGATGCGCCCTGTTTGCGAGGTGTGTCAACTGCAACTGCCAGCCTGGCCAGCCTGTGCCGGGTCCTTGCCAAGCTTGCCAAGCTTGTCTACCTGACTGCGGGCACTAATCATGTGGATGCGGGGCATGTGAGCTCTACGCGCCTCAAACGCTCTGCCATGGCCACGGACGAATCGAACTGTGAGGCTTCATTGCTTCTTTTCCATCCTATTTTTTAGTTTTTGTCGTGGCGAGCAACGCCGTCTGATCTGCGTCACTTGCCCGCTTTACGCCAATCGATTGACTGCCCGACTACGATACCATGCCACGCGAGGTTTTGGCTACAGGTAACGCCCATTCTGGATGACAGGGCGTGCCCTTGACCTCCTGTGTTGCTTCTGGACTATTCTGCTCTCAGAGCCAGCAACAGTACAGCCATGACCAGTCCCAGTCCTCTCACTGCGACTTCTTTGCTGCCTTGCCTGGAGTTGCGCATCGTAATAGCACAGGTCCCGCCACGGTATAGACAGAGTCACTGTCTGAGACTCTTCAGGATCCGGTCCGAGGAAATAAGCCTGGCAAGAGTCTTCACCATCGGCACAAACTGGACCCGCCCCGTGTATAATCGGAGATGGTCGTGCCGTTCACGGCCCGGTTAGGTTTTTGGTCCATTGACGGACAGTTCTATCGTGCTTTTTTACCTACTAGTTCGCAGATCTCCTGGTTCGAATGTAGGATCGGACAAACCAGTTTCCTAAATCCACTCTGAACACTCGCACCCAACAGAAACACGCCTGAATTCGATCGTCGGCGCTTGACCGAGAACATGCGTCCCGAAAGTTTCGCTTGTAAGATCATTTCTGGCCTTCATGAAGAGGATCATCGGTGGGCTACTCTGGGAATTGGCGGTATCAGTCAAGATCCTGGCGGCCAGTCGTCATCGGATCAAATCTGTGCTGGAATCCGTTCCACGTCGACTTTGGATGGATCCAAATTGGCCTTGGGCTTGGAAGCTGGCTTCAGTCGCTTTGGCCATCAGACATCCAAGATCCTCCCTTCGGAGGACGAGACCTTGCTTTGATACATGTCCACAACGGTTCTGTTTCGACCATGAATTTGAACGCCTCGGCAACTGCTTTGGTCAAGAACGCGAGGCCCTGTTGTGTTTCTTACTGGGTTATTTCGAGGCTCAGCCATAGAGAAACTGTTCAATCCCTCGTCCGCGTCACAGCTCGGTTGCTCAATGCTGGCCAGTAGTTAGGAATTGTTCTGGTCACCGATTGCGTGTGTCATCTGCGTAATCCATTCAGTCAGGCCTTTTTAGAGTCGCAATATTGGCTGTCATTCACGGTGTTCTTTTTCAGACCCAACCTTAGTGGTATGAGCGACCTTGGCCTCATCAACTCTGCGTTGCTGGCAACCGTCACTTGCGCAACGATGTGGGAGGCAACTTGTCCTTGCATTGAAAGTGGCGATGCCTCTATGTAGCATCACTCTCACTTGGGTTCTTTGTGGCTATCGTGGCTCGAGGTCGGTGGCCTATCTTCTTTACGTGCATGGCA